AGATTTTTGCGAAAATCCGTAAACTAGCTAGCAAGGAGGCTCGGCCGATATATTTTTGGATTTTTGGATTTTTGCGAAAACGCGGAAACTAGCGTTTTTGGATTTGTGAATTTTTGCGAAAATCCGCCAACCGGCACGCAAATTTTACGTGCAGCATTTAGTTGACTTAGTAATGCGGGGGGTGACGTGGTTGGGTGCTCCCGCGTGCCGTCCTCATCCTCCTGCTCCTCCACTTCCTTTTGCACCCGGTAAAAATATCCTCCTCGCCATCAGCAGCGCTGTATACTCGTGTTTTTGTTCTTGAGGGGCATGCTTGCTTGTGCATAGAAACTCCAGGAGGCAATTGTGTATCCCGCCAAGACAGCAAAGTTTGCCGCACGCAACATGGCGCCCGATTTCAGGCAAGTCGCGCATTGGACAACCCCTTGGTGTTTGGCTTGGCTGATATGCGTGTGTGGAAAGCCCACGATCTTCTGAGACCTTGTGCGAGCAGCAAATTCAATAAAGGTGTATCAGTCAATTGGTCAAAACAGACAACACGTGTAGCTGCCAGCCAGCGAATAATTCCGGACTCGACACAAAACAGCTCCAAATCACATGGTGCTATGCTATGCTATGCTATGCTATGCTATGCTCAGCCATGGGACATGTGTGAACAAGCCAGAAGCTTCAAAGCTGAGACCGTTCGATTTGGATTGAATGGCCACAGGCATGCAGGCTCGGAAATTGTAGCCTAATGGTTTACTTGGTGGCATGCTCTTCAGACCCAGTGGAGGAAGACCAGCAACTGTTTGATTGAATCTTGGGCAATCAGCATATCGGACCGTACTCCTTGGCAATAAGCTACTGTAAATCAGATACTGCAATCTATTTTTTGCAGGCATGGCATTGTTGTTGTATCCGAGTGTGTGCAACACGTTGCCGGGTAAGCGGTGGTCCGAAAACTGGATGATGAAAATGCAAGCCATGGTGGGGCGATGGTTGTGTGCGATCACCAGGAGTTTTGCATTCCCGCAGTCAATGGGCTAAACGCAGATGTCATGAACCGGTTGTGCTGGACAGGCAATGATTGCAGCTGCTTGGTGGGCTGCCGGGTTTTTATGTTGTTTCGCCGCGCCGGCATTTTTTGTCAGCAGAAGAATTCAACTTGCCGTGATCACGAATGTGGCTTTCTGTGGTGCAAGCAGAGTTTCATTACGGAAGGTGATTTTCGATCACTCTTATGTGGACGTTGTAATGGGTTCAGCTTCGACAATGCGAACAGTTTTCTTGAGCCGAGAGTCATCTTTTGCATGTTTATTGGGCGTTGTGGAGACCAGCGTATACAACGTTGGCAGGTTCTTTTGCTTGTCGCGTACAGAGTCGCGTTGCCAGCAGTGCGTGCCCTCAGTTGAAACCAGTGTCTTGCAATTGCATGAATTCCGAATATCCGAGGACACTTCGCATGTGCTCGTTTTGGTGTTGGGCGACATAGGGAGAAGTCCACGCATGCAGATGCGCACCCAGACGATTCAACCAAACCCTTCGTGATTTTTGCCTCTTTTTTTGACCAAGGTATCATTCATTGTCTTTGGCCAGACATGGTCACTTGCCAGACACCGATGTGACTTCACACGGCGTGTGTGACACCACCCCTACAAAAGGTACAAAAGGCTGATAAATACTAGTGAGTTGGTCTGGATCTAAGGGTGTGACGTGACCATGATCGGGTACCCGGGCGTCCGACCCTCAGGTTCTGCATGCACCGCAAGCAGAAACACCCAGTGCTGAGGCACGGCCAATGCATGCTACGCTGGCAAGTTCTCACCACTCAGCCGTAAACATCATGACGTGACTTCACGCCAGGAATTGGAGACGAATCCCCGAATTCGGATTCGTCACGTAATGCCATTGGTGCCACATCACTGTTTGGATGTTGTCGCGCATACATACCGCGCTGGCCTGAAGTTTCAGGAGATGTCGTGGCTCCCGTTCAGTGTCCGAGCTGGTGTCAAGGTAGGAAGCACGCCTTCCGATTCCCGCCCAAAATCCGACGCCCCTGAAGGTCATTTCGCTTTCTTTTCGTCTCCTCGTGCTGCTGCTGCGCAGTGCTCGGTTTTAAGGGATGCTTTTGATGTTGGGGAAGTTTTGCAAGGTTGCAGCGTTGAAAATAACGGTGTGTACATTGCTGTGAAGTGGAAGGTCGACGTCTCCAAGATGCGGCGTGATCCTCGTGCAGAATCCGCAAGGAACCCTGCTGGTTGTTTGCCATTGGATTGGAACAAGCACTGTTGATGATGGTGTCGGCCCAGGCCTGCTATCCCATCATTGATCTTGACACGGCTAGCATCTACTTTGCAGGCGACATGTGTGAGCACTTGCCATGCACTTTCTTTTCTCGGCATTGTTCATGTTTGGGCAGGGAGCTGCGTTCCTTGTAGACTTTCACAACTTTGGCTACTCCTTGTTGGCGATGAAGACGCCCCGGCAATTTAGATGAAGTCGGTGCTGAAACAATGCATCGGTTTTGGGCCAGGTTAGGAAGCCAGCATCCCCTTGTCAGAGATCGGGGCTAAGCGATGAATGTGATGATATTGCTTCTGCAATCTTCTGCACTCTATGCCAGTTGGCTTAAGTTCTTGATGACGAGGCCCACCTTCTGTATGAGAAACTTTGCGGCCGACTTGCTGATGATGCTTTCTGTGTTACAAAGCAGTCTGGTGCTGAGCAATTGCACGCAGATGAGTAGTTTCTTGTGAACAATGCCCAACCAGGATGCAGGATTTCTTAGCACAGAAGTGGGAAGTGTGGAGCTCGTGATGCTCAATAGCATGCAGATTGAACGTTATGCGAGCTGCGTGTGTGGCAAAATGCCCGTCAGGTCCAGGCACGATCCTTACATGATCGACCTGCGCGCATTTTCAGGCGCTCTTCTGGTCAAATTTGCAGGCGTAGTTTTTAAGATATGTTGGAATGTCAGTCATATTGTCGAGGCCTGCTGGCGTGATGGAGCAGCACGACCTGTTTCAGCGCCTTCGAGCTGAAGGTATTTGTGGTGCGCACTGGACCAAGACCCGTTTCAAGACCCGATTTCACAGGGTTGCATAGATAAGCTCGTGGGCAAACTATGCTACAAGCATGTGTTGGAGGCTGGATGATTGGTGGCCAGCAGACAGCGGCAGCCGGGCATACAACTGTTTTTTGGTGATTACGAGGCAAGCGTCCGCATGTGCCGAACACCGCAAACGACTTCATGAGGCCAAACTTTGTTTACTCGAACGTCGAAAACGGGAGAGTGTAGCCCATAACTCAGTTCCATACACGCACTGTATCGCTCTATCCTTTCCAGGCCTATGGCATGTGCAATCAGGCAAGCCATCCGGTCGGCCATATGTCATTGTTAGCGTTGAGCTGAGAACCTGCTGCGTAGCGCGTGTGTGTCCTCTGGTTAAACCAGCAGCCCTCGCAGGCTCAACTTCTTGGACTCCGGATGAAGACTTTGGACAGCTGCTGGATGCCGATGGCTTTCAAGTGCTTGCATATCCCTGGCTGATACATAGCATGCATAAAAGGCCCTTCCCGTCTTCAATCATCATTTGATGCAGGCGGTGTATGCATGTCCATAGATTTTGTTCTTTTTTTCTTGCGATTTTGTGATGCCATGCTTGAGCAGGCAGGCGCTAAAGCTGTTGTCTTCATCACTGGCAAGGGTGACTTGAGGCGACCTTTCGAGGCCTTGTTGCAGGTCTCAGTCTGAATGAAGCACAAAGGTCATGTAAGTTCAGGCGCTTCTGAGTTGTGGATGTCAGGCAGTTTCAAGATGAAGGGATGATGCACATCGTCCACCCAGCATCAGCATCATGCAGGCATAGTTTAACACCCCCCCTACGTTATCACATTGCGTCGTCCACAAGAGCAGAACTTGGTGCTTCAGACCTGGGTGTTCTTCTCTGGATCTTCTAGTGTAGGTAGAGCTGACAAACTCTGACAGTTTCTGCCTGGCATGCTGGATGATGAGCTGGTATGCAACAATGGTATTGCCCTTCGCACATGAAAACGAGGGTGTGATTTAACGTTCTGCGCTTTGAAGTACAGAAGTTTGTTTGGTGCCAGTGTGTTCAGGGTCTTCTTCTGCATTCTTTTCTGTTCTGTGCTCCGCAAATGCCATTTTTGCCATGGTCATAATGCAGTTTGCGCTTCATGCTCAGGAGCATTGCTTGGAGTATGCCATCCCCGTTTTCATTTTGTAGCTGTCACCGCATTTGTCGACAAGAGCTTTGTCATTGCAGGATCGTTTGAAGAGCATGGCGCCGCGAGCCAAGGAATGAGCACCCAAACGCCCAGATTGAGCACATTTTTTTTTTGGGCGTCGGCATCCGAGGTCGAAGTTGCAGTATGTCCGTGTAGTGACGGCATGGTGCGGCAAGTGGATCATTGTATGGTCATGACCAGCCATGGCGCCCCCAAAACATGTGTCTTACGTATTCGGAGGCTCAGCTTTGCTGATTACGCATTGCTTTTGGGAAGCGCAGACCTTGGTCTCAGCCTGGCTCTTACGGCACGGGGCTTCCAGCAAACATGTTTTTGCAGCGAGATGGTGGGTTCGCAGCTTTACATGGGATCAAGTTACTCATGGTGTGCTGCAGGGACACAGGGCAGCCGGAGACAACCTTCCAGCCCCAGAGTCACAACCGCGTCGTAATGCACATTCACCTCCCCGGCCCAAGAAGCGTTTTCGTCTCTCCGAAAGCCGCGCTTCCGGCAGAGCCTGATCTCATAAGCCACTTGCCTCACAACCACATCCTGAATACTCTGCGGCGTATCAGCTCCAGCCAGCCGCAGGGCAATTTGCTCGATTGCATCGTATCGTACTCGTTGCACTCCCGAAAGAGGTGCCGAAGGACGGGGGAACTTGCCTGACCCACAGTCATAGCAAAAGTTCTGTGCGTCACAAAAGGCGCCTCCAACCATGACAGCCAACCCATGGCCACTGGTTTTTTGCCCGGGAACGAATCTGGTCAATCGAAGGAAGTCCCTCATGGAGGCTCTTTCGATGGCCGCGTCATTGCGTCCTGACGTGTTTTCATCTGCAAAGGCTTTGACTGGAGTCTCCAGGACAGTCGAAACTCGAACGCTGACGATGTTAAGTGCACACGTTTATGCATCCAATGCAGACAGTGGTGTGTGCTGGCAGGGGATAGATCTGAAATTATCGCAGTCTTGAAATGCCAGCCTACCAGGGGTCTCGAAAAGTGCTAATGGACTAACTTAACTTCGAGCGGCTCTGGTTCTGCGTGGGTATGTCAGCGATCTTCAACTCACGTCACTCAGATCCGAGCAAGGCGGACAGTGAAAAGATGTGTACAGACAGTTAGCCCTGCCACAGAAGGAAATGTTCGCAAAGCGGCTCCGCCTCGGAAGTGTTCGGCTGCGAGGTTTGCACAGCTCCTCATCCGGCATCGACCTCCCTATGAAGGCACAGTTCTGATTTTTAATGACAAATGGAGGGATTGTATACAGCAGCCGTGCAGCAACGCTTAACTTGCAGGTCGTGGACATGTTTGGGGCGGGTCTACCTGTTTGCGCACGGTCTTTCCCAGCCCTGCCTGAGCCGCTTGAATCATTAGATTAGACTGGCATAGACTGGCCATATTCTGCGCGTGTGAGTGCTGCCAAGAACCTGCAAACAGGCTTGTCCAGCATGGGGAGAACGGTTTCGTTTTCACCACCACAGAGGACCGCCGAGATTGAAGAATCGCTTAGATTGCTGGAAGAGATGTGAAGGAGCTGGCAATCAGCTTAGCCCATGGCCTTGGTGCAGTGCCATGCTGAGCGATGCATTGTCTTGAGCATGCTGCATTTTTGGACGTAGAGGTTTCGTCGTCTGAGCTGCCGCGCTTGAAATCTCCAGCAGGAGAGCTTGGAGCTCAGAAGCGGGAGTTGTCACGGATGTCCAGGTGCGTGTGAACGTTTTGTGCAGCTCATCCCCAAGAGGATGATTTTTCACGAAAGCTAGCGGAGCCAGGCTTGAGTTCAGTCTTTGGCAGCAGTAGCCTTCAAGGTCTGGAAAACGACACGTGTGACATATCAGGGCATGGGCGGGTGGGGGGGGGGGGCGGGGGAGCGTGATTCTTCCACAGGAAACTCATTGAATCTATTGGGGGTGATTCTTTTACAGGAATCGTAGGTTTGGAGTGGTTCTTTCGAGAGGATTCGTGATGTCATCATGTTCGGTTGATAATTGTACAGTAACATCATGCCTGGTTGTTGCATCAAATCCTTTTTTTCTCAATATTCACTGCCCTGGCATGCTCAAGGTGCCAATTACAAATCTTTGTAATAAGCCTTAGCATTTTTTTAAAAACATATTTCAACTTGATATCTCATCCTTCAAGAAAAGCACAACATGTTCCTGTTGATTGTAAAGAACCGTAAACATCAGCACACACTGAGGCCATGCCTCATTAACTTGTGTGCTTTATCAGCTGACATTAATATATGTCCGTCGCTGTCTGAATTATTCATTTGGACTCTTCGACTGACTGATGCATCCGAGTGCGTAGTGTCTACATGTCCTAATAAATCATCCTGTCCATTTATCACTTTAATTTCTGCTGTTGATGATTCTCATGCTATGGTAATATTTATATCTCCTGACGCCTCGCTGTTACTGATAGATTAGTTTATACTGTGTGTCCAATACTTCTCTAAATTCAGAGCTGTTCTGCAACATAAAGCGTTCCCAATCAGTGACATCCGCCTCTCCAACAATATTGCCAATACTACTGCATGTTTGATTGTTTAGAACTGCTTTTGTTTGGTTGTAATTTCGAGAGTGTCGTTTACTTGTAATGCTATTGTTCCTGTTGTGGGGGCGGACGTTCTTTCCGTCTTTATATTTCCTCTGTTGATACTACATTTTGATTGTTGTTAGCGTCGGCTCTTTGGGAAAAACCTGCGTTTGTGTTTACTAGTTGTTCTGCAATCAAATAATGTTAGGTTCTAGTTATGTGACACGTTACGTCGTTTACCTTGAAGGCTACTACTGCTAGCAAGACTAAACTCAAACCTAGCTTGCTTGATTTGTGCTGCCATGGTTGTTGTTGCGGGGTCTGCTTCTTTATTAGATTGAAAACTGAAACTCATTCATGAGAAGTAATGATGTATGCCCTCTTCGTATCCATATCAAAAACATATGCTTTCGTCGGCGTCCAACAATTGGTTCTTGCGTTAAACATGGGACTTGTATTTTCATAAGTGTTTGTGCTCCTCCCGTTGTTAAGCAGTTTAATTTTCTGTTTTTGACCTTGCAGGACATCGCTTCTGGTGGTCAAATTTAAATTCCCGGCTGTACTCTGCCTGTCGCGTTCACGGTTCACGACGGCTGTATGGTCATGGAAGGGGTGTGGTAGTCGCGTCAAACCTCCCTACTTGTTCTAATGTTTGCCATACCCCAGCAAGGTCACAATACGAATAGCACGATGCTGGTGGTTTTAAATGTTTTGCTCCCCTTAGTGTTGGCAACCCTTGCAAAGTCATGATACATCTAAACTGTGCTCGTCGTTGCGTCAAAACCTCCCCGGCCGCTCCGTAGTGATCACTATCCGACAAGCATCATCAAGCCGGGTGGTTGCATTGCACCTTTCCCTGTTTCTGTTGTGTTCAATACCTTAGTACCCTTCCCTGGTCTTGCAACAGTCATATTTTTGTTTCATTGAGACCTCGCCACTCCTGTAGTGCTAAACCCACCCATGCATTTGCATGGTATGAATGACATTAAGCTCGATGGTTGCATTGAAGATCCCCGTCATGCCTGGTCATTGCATCTCGCCTTCCTCCTGTTTGGTGCTTGTTTCCTTTGCGTGCTCTACGTACGAGCAACATTTTGCTTTGTGGTTGCATCTAATCTGGCTGCCCTTTATGTACCCCGTTTTGGCCAGAGTGCGGGTAAGTTCACGCGTGCTTAGTGTGTTCCCAGCTTGGCGTTCCGGGGCATCAGTGCTGAGCAGATAATGCGCCTCCATGGAGCCGATGTTTTGGAAATGTTCGTCGATGTTCGTCGCAACACAGTTACTGATGCAGTAGCGCCCCTGGGCTTGGCTAGTATTTCAGCTGACCGCCTGAGCCTCATGGTTTTTTCTAGCTCGGGCAAGCACAAAGGAGGCATGCGCAAAAAAAACCATCATGTTTTCAGTGGCTTGGCACGAGACCAATGCGCGCTACGAGAGTAGTTCAATTCAAGCCGCCTGGCCTGGACTCCGGAGCACCTGGCTGTGTTGCTTGCTGCCAAGCTGCTCTGGCTGCTGCTATGCTCGGGAGGCACCAATGGTTGGGGCGCGCGCCTTGGGGCCCGGGCCGGGTCCAGGCACACGGGGACCTAAAGCCCGGCTCCCCCTCGTTTTCACACCACCTCCCCCACAGTTTGGCACATTTTTGGAAGAGAAAGTTGAGACTCTTCAGTTCATACATAAAAATGCTGAAATTCAACCAAACGATTCTAGTTGCGGTCTTTTAGACATTTTGACTGTTGACTGGAGTGTTGACTGTGGGGGGTGCACACTTCTTGCCAAAAAACTCAAGACGGCCAACATGCTGTGGAAATCAGCTCAACGCAATACGTTTGCCGCGTACTTCTAACTTATAATGTCGGTTTCCGTTAACACCGATGCAAGGCCTTACAGAAAAACGGAGCTCGACACGTTTACTACTGCCATCCGGGTCTTTATGTTGGCCCTACTTGAGTCTCTTGTCGAGGGCTTGGCCCTGTTTGAGGGACTCTGGATGGAGGAAATGTTGCACCGTTTTTACATCGTAGATACGTTACCGCCGCGTGCGCCTTCCCCCTTCTTAACATCGGCATTGAAAGCCTCCAGAAATAGATTTGTTCCAAAGACGGAAATCTTGCACAGCCTTATACAGAACAGGTGTCAATGTTAAAAAAGGGTTGCTGGGATGCATTTTTACGCCACAGCAGATGCCTATTATGTAACAATGTAGGTAGTGCAAGATTTGCTCCATCCACGGTAGCTCCTTACAAATATTCAAAGCCAAAAACAGACAACATTATGAAAACAAAGCAAGTCTACTATCACAGGGCGCAACTTCATTTTTGCAGTTTTTCAGCAGGGGTGCAGTGAACATTTCGACATTGCGGTTCTTAACGCAAACAGTCCAGTGTTGTTGTGATATCGGGCTGCAGTGAGCATTTTCGGATTACGCTGCCTAACGCAGACCGTCCAGCGTTGTTGTGATACCAAGAGAGAGTGCTCCTCTGAAGTACTTGCACAGGAAGTAATTGTTCCACGCATTTCCATGCTGTATATGGTTGTTTGAGGCTGGAGGTCCAGGCCGGCCTGGCCATCCCTCCTTCCAAGACCCAAAGCGGAGTTCCGCTTCATGATGCCACAAATCATGAAGAGGCCTCTGTAAAAAAAAGATGTTACCGTTAGTTGTGATAGTTTCTTACGGTTTTAGGGTTTTCTTGTCCTTATTTCAATCCAAAATCGGACCCCAATTGTGGTGACGATGCTCGCGTACGCATTTCTTGTCGTTCATGTTGCTACAAGGCCACATTGTGGACCCCCTGGCCTTGTCAAGATGCATTCAGGCTTGTTGCTACGTTGCAGCTTTCTGCGTTGCATCATGTAGCAAACTCGTTTGCCAGCTGGAAATGCAGAACAGCTGAATCGCTTTTCTGCTTCTTCATGTCTTGGCAATCACAAAAATCAAGGGGTGGCTAGATCCTTCCGACTGGGGCACGCCAAAGACGCTGAAGACACGAAGACGAGATAATGCCGAAGACGCCCAAAGCGCGAAGCACGAAGACGCCCAAGGCTCCAAAGCGCGAAGACGGAAGACGCCGAGCCGAGCATGCAAGGCGTGAGGACGCAGGAGACGTGAAGACGCAAAGACGCCGACCGTATGCTCTTGGAACACGAGCGTGATTGCGGCTTGGGCATGGATGCTCTCTGAAGATGTGGAGACGTTCTGAAGACGCTGAAAACGCGAGGATGCTGAAGATGCAAAGGTGCGGACACGCCGAAGACGCGAAGATGCGAGGACGGCGCAGACGCGAGGACGGCGCAGACGCGAGGACGGCGAAGACGCGAGGATGCCACAGACGCCGAGGACGCGTTGACGCGCCGAAGATGCGAGGATGCCGAACCGCAGTTACCAGAGCAGTCAGGACGTCGGCGTCGGGGCGTCGGGACATGGGCGTCGGGGCTGTCCAGGCGGCATGGGGGGGGGCCGGCATCAGGGTCGTCGGCGCGGGGGCGGGCGGCGGTGCAGCGGTGCGGAATGCGGACTCTCGAGCATGTCTTTGATATCTTTAACATGGAGACGCCAGAGAGTCCCCGTATCACTTTTATTCTGGGCGAGATGTTTCCCATTACATAGAAGACAACAATTCATTATGCTGAATTTGGGTGAGGATCAAGCGAAACACGTGCAACAAACTCGTGATTAATTATACTTCCATCGAGTTAGCAATATCTTTATTGCAGAGAAAGACAAATTCCATTCCATGCTTAAGAGCCTTCTTTTTAACACATGCCTGATTTTTGGTCTCACGTGGTAACATCTTTCGGTTGTGCATTTTTTCTACAGGGTCTCAGTTGCTAATACGTGTATCGTTTGTGCTTTGGAACCGCTTTCAAGAAGGCCTCGGCTTAACAGTCCTTAGTCGTTTCGCTCTAAACACCATACAGGCTTCCTTCAGCGTTAAAATGCCTCGTCTACGCTAGGGGCCGGAAAAAAATGTTGCGCTAAAGGGATTTATCAAGGGATTTCTTAAGCTACCTTGATAGGGGCCAACTGCCAATTGCATGCTGAAAGCAAATCGCCGGTGCGGGCAGGCTTCCAAAATCATGGAAAAATCATTGTCTGCACAGGAAAACCAACGCACATGCACATCTTTACGTAGATTGTAAGAATATCTAGATGATTCTAGATTTCTTCGTCGTTTGTATCTTGGACAGTTTGAGGCCAAAGCTCAATGGTTGGGATGACAATTGGGCCAGCCACTGAGCAGCCGCTTTTGTTCTGTGTCGGGGTTCTTCCGATTAAATTTCAGCGAAGCTTGAGGATGCCATTGCCTGGCCGGTGTTTGAACAATGCATAAAGCTCGCTGCTTAGTTAGGCATTTGCGCTTGAGACCTGTCACAATTGCGTGCAGACCTTGCCTGCAGGTCAGAGCACCTTGGCAAGAAGGAACGCTGAGAACACCCAAAGCGGCACCGGGCGCTCATCCTCCATGTCTTCTCACAGTGAAACAGCGTGAAGTGCAAAGCTGGCGAGAAACGGAGCAATGCATTTCTGGCTCCTCTTTTGCTTTGCCCGTGGCGTAGCATGGCATTAGTTTGACGTTGATGTTTTCTAAAAATGCTGCGGCAACTTGGCCGAAAGCGGTTGACCGGCGGACCTGGGTCATCTCGCCAGGACTTGTTGCGTGAACATGTGGCCGACGGAATGGGTGGCTGTTCTGTCTGGGCTTCGAGAGAGGACCTGGTGGCCGCAGCCCGTTCTGCATGGCACCACCATCAGGAAAGCCAGGCCATGCTCAGCACTTCGATGCTTCGAAGCCTTCTCGCTGCTTTGCGCAGGTTCAGATGTTGCAAGGCAAGGGGACAAGCATCACACCATCTTGGAGACGATTGAACTGAGTGATGTTCCCTTGTTGCAGTGGCTACTGCCCGCCTGGTGCCTTGCAGCTAGCAGGGGCACTAAGGAAAGTGATGATGAGTTCAACTACGAGGCCTGCTTGTCCGGCGGTGCGGGTGATGGTTCTGGAAAGAAGGGTGTATAGGGAGAGATTTTCTCCGAATATGGCACCAAGCAATGTAGCCGCATGCAGCCGTGATGCCTGCAGCCTGCTTGAGCACCACGAAGCAAAGGATCACCCACACGATGGCAGCAAGCCAATGTCAGCAGACGTGACAAGGGTGATCTAGAGAAACAGGCAAACGCATAAATGGCAGCTTTGAAGACTTTTCTGCTTGTGAGCCCTGGTGAAAGGAAGCCAAATAAGTGACAGATAAGTTTAAACTCTACCTCTGACATGAAACCAAACCTGTAACCTCTTAGCAAGAATCTAAGTCCAAGCATGCCAAGCACCCCACGATGTAACGAAAGTATTCATGTGAGAGCCTGAGGGCCTAACCATGGGCCCTTGATTTGGGTCCTAACTATGAGCTCTCAATTGCGTTTCTAGGGTTTTACAGAGCATATTATGTATGGTTGTTGTCAAGATTAATGATGAAGGTCCATAGTTCCGACCTTGACCGAGCCCCTGGCCCAAAGAACCCCAAAACATGAAGCAACATAACCCTTGAACCCTCTAGCCCCAGCCATCCCTAGCCGCTTGCCCCAACCCCTCACGGCCCTGACGCATTGTGGCAGCTGGCTTTGGCTGTGAATGAACGAGGTTTCGAGGCGTTGGAAGCCTTTGCTGAGGCTTTACATCGACTTGTGTGTGTCAACCAGCTTTCATAGATGGGCAAGGTGGCCACGAGCCGTGCGCTCGTAGCATGGTCCGCGATGAGCAAGCTCACCAAGGGGTAGCAAGCAAGCATTGCTGGTGAGTGGCCACGGTACCCTACGGGAACAGACATAGCCTAGCTCCTCGAAGTCAAAGCACAAGCTTTGATTCTTCACATGCTATGTCAATCCCCGGCGTTTGTCGGATAAACATTGACACATGCCAATGGTTCTTGGTTCGTCCAGCTTAGCTGTGCTATGCTGCAGGAACTCCCTGAAGATCCAGACCTGCTGGAACAGGACGATGAGGACATCGCTTTAGTGGCATTTCATTCAGGCCGTGAGCATCCCATGATGTGTGATGATCGCAGGAACAGCTCGACGACATCAATCGGTTGCTGGCAGAGACGAAGCAACCAGTGGACAGCCAGGAGCTTCAGTTGGATGCGCTAATGAGCTTGATGAGCATAAATCAGCATATACAGTGTGTACAATGGTTGGTGTGAAAGGAGGCTGGCGACGAAGCTGGGCTAGCCAAGGCTACCTGTATCCAACAAGTAGTTTGCAGCACGCTCGGTGGCCTCCACATCCTGTTGGATGAGGTGCAGCAGCGCCCACAAGTCATTGATGACTTCATCCGGAATTTCTTGCTGAAGTACATGCCCCTGAACTCTACTGCTCGCTTTGTGAGTTGTGTAACAACTCTGCAAATGCAGGTACGACATGAAGCGCTCCCTGGAAATCTTTCAGGCCGAGTGGTACGAGATGCAGCAAACAGGGAAGTTCAAGGATCGTTGCTAGTCATCCTGCTGGATCAGATTCCCAGACTGCATCACCCACGCAGGACTCGGAGCTGACCATTGTCCCTGATGTGTATACACGCAATCACGGTTTCCAGCAAGAGGCCAGACAATGGTCCCAGTCGCAGCAGACACATTTGCAAGGTTCCTGTCTCCTTCCATGACTTAAGACATTTATCATATTCATCGTCAAGCTGCGGTTTCAATGTGCGGTTGTGCAAAGTCATGGAGTGCAGTTTGCTACTGTGCCGCAGTTATGCAAGTTTGCAGCACTCGCACAGGTCATACTGCTCCGTGAGGAGTTAGAAAAGGCCCGAGTGGTGGCAGCCAAGGACTGCACCCGAAAGTAAGATTTTTAACCTGAGCAAGATCCAGTCATTTTTGCAGGCCAAAGAGTCGTGGGACAAGTTTCGAAAAGAGCGTGATTATCACCGGATGCACCACCGGCGAGCCACTTTCTAAGTGCTGTAGCTGTCAGGTGGATTTTTGCTGGTGGGGGTACCGGTTTATGGACGCCTGAGGTGGTCCAGGAGAAGAACAAGCTCATAGTGGTTGCGTGGCATTTGAATTGCTTGGCACATATTGATGGGCCACAAATTTTCATGTGGTAGCATTAGGACGGATCTGAGACATCCCAGGACTTGAAGAGATTGAAAAAGCACTATGAGCAGTACGAGCCAACTTTGACAGAGCTGCGGCACAAGTACGAGGTTGCAATGAAGGATTCCAGGGCACTTAAAGAGACCTGCATGCCAGCTCTTGCAGATAACCTTCTCGCGAGACGTTCACACTGTCATGCGCTCATGGTTTGCAAGCAGAGACTTCCAGTCGAGAGTCAAAGAGCAATGCTAACCTCAAACGCCGCAGAATTTCGGGACATTTCGGGACGATGGCGACGAGGAAAAGTGCGTACCTTTTTTTCTAGAACCCCTGCCGTGCATGCGTCTATGCGTCTGCGCAATCGGCGAAATCTTATGCTAAACAATGCAGCGGAGACTGTCATTCGATGCGCAGGCGCGTCACGTGGTTTCTCATGGGGGCAGTGCCTGCTGCGTCCTCACACGGAATGTTTTGGGGATCGCTGAATGCGGGCCACAGTACGAGCGAAGAAAAAGTGTGGCGAGACGTGTGGCATCTTGAAACCGCGTGGCCAATGTGGCCAGTACGTAGCTCCGTGCAACCCTTGTCCTTTCCTTGTGTCTACCTTATGCGCTGCTTTGTTCCCCCTTGAGCAAGCCTATAGGAAATTGCATGGAAGGCATTGCATAGTAATCATACTTGCGCCAATCACGGTCGTGGACTCAGGTTCATGTTAACCTGGCTTTGAACCAGTAGTTGTTTTCCACTCTTACGGTGTGATTCTCAGATTTTCTAGTATATGTTCTCCCCGCCCTCCGTACAATATCTAACCCCCGAGTATTCCTACAGTGCCCAGCCGCAGAGTATATATATATATATATACCGTATACCTGCCGTGCCCGAGCTCCGAGTATCATTGCAGTGCGCCAATGTTTCACAGCAGCTCAGCCCAACATTTCTGCCATGCCCGACCCCAAAGTCCCTGCCTGCAGTGCCCACAAAGTACTTCAGAGGTTCCCTGCGATGCCCAGTCTCTCCCTGCAGTGCCCAATTTCAGGGTGTCCCTGAAGTGCCTACCCTCGGAGCATGCCTATGAACAATCCAAACCTCAAACAAGCCACTTCACCACCCCAACGCTTTGAACGTACAGCTCTTATGTTTGCAGGCTCGCGTAATGTTTTAGAATTACATTGCTCATGCATGCTCCATAGTTGATGATGCCGCGCAACCACAAAACACAAGGGTGGCTGGGGATGTTTAAAGTAGAGAATTAGCAAACGTGGCGTGGCTTCAGTTTGTACAGGAGAAGATGCTTATGCGCCTGGAGCGGGATCGCTATGCTGCGAAGGCACCTGGACTACTTACATGGCGCATCTGCAAATGTGAGCTTTTTGAAGGCAGAGTCTCTTCAGAAGCAGCTCTCGCAGGCATCTGCTCAACGCCCTTTTCCCGCGAATTGAAGTCGTAACTGAGTGCTGATTGTAGGCCGAGGCAAAAGACGAAACTGCCAACAGCAAGGCCGCTGAAGCCATCCAGCGCTTGAATGACTCTGCCAGCATTCCTTGTGAGCAGGATCTCACCGAAGGTGACGATGCGCACAATAGGAAGAAAACATTGAGAGAAGCACCGTGGCCCAGTGAAGACAGGAGATGAGGGATTCAGGATAACAGACACCCAGCCACGCTTGGCTAGCGGACAGACACCTGCATGCAAAACATGAGAACAAACGCTAAGGGCAGTCTTCTGGACAGGACCAACCCATATACGAATTCCAATTTCGAAGCGGTGCGGGTGGCAGACTTTGCAAGGCCCTGCTTTGATCCAACGGCAACTTTCACATGCTCCGATGTTTCTTAACCTCAAAGACGTTGCTTACATCAAGTGCTGTTTGACGTAAACAGCTTGGAGGCTTGTGCGTGTTTTTGCTTGAGGACGCAGGTTTTCAAAGGCCATTTGGGTGTGCGGCCCCTGGCTTGTGAGTTGTGTGTTGCCTATAGGTGAGGATCCCTAGTTGGATGATCTTGATCAGGCGGTGTCACGTGTTGCCTTCCATCCCAAGATTCCGGTGGTAGCAACAGCCTGTGACGACCACACCTGGAAGATGTGGTCTGTACCAGAAGGCGGACTGGGTTGGCCATGCGGAGCAAGTGGATAACTCTGCGCTGTTGCAGGTCAGCTTGTTCTGAGCGGCGAGGGGCACAGGCAACACCTGGAAGTTGAGAAAGTTGAGAAAGTTGAGAATGGAGCCGAACAGGGTTCAAAGCGTGCGGCAGATGCTGGTCTGCTGCTGTTTGCAGGGATTGGGTCAGCGGCATTTCTTTTCACCCTCGCGGCTCGCTAGTGCGTCCCCTAGCGTGCCCATGTGTTTGATTTGAGAGGTCCTGCAGGCACTCTTTTGGAACTCTTTTGGATGCTTGGGATGGGTCTGAAGCTACGCTTCCTGCTCATTACGGCTTCTGCAAATTCTTTTCTAGCTCAAGTCAAGTCCGAGAATTGCAGGCTTCGAATTGTTAAAGCAACACTGGCATGACTTGCTAGACAGACTGGCCTTTTCATGTTTTGTTAGCATGAGGTCGCCACGTCGTCTGGAGATTCGACCGTCAAGATTTGGGACGTTGCCAAAGAGAAGTGCAAGCACACACTAACAGATCATACTCAGTTGGCTGCTAAGCATCACGATTTTCATGATCTTGCTGTGCCAGAGCAGTAAGGGCGCAGACTCAGCATTTATTTGCCAGCAATTGGTCCGCTGAGGCCTGTGTGGGCATGCTCCTTCCATGATATGGGGGATTTCGTGGTCTCTTGCTCTATGGTCTTGGACTTAGCAGTAGATGGCTTGCAAAAATGCCGTGCTGCTGGTATCATCTTTTGACAGGACCAGACCGTCAAAGCATTCGACATGATGAGCATGCGCTGCCGCCAGACATTCCGCGGTCATGTGGACTCTGTGAACTTTGTGACGTTCCAGCCATTTTCGAACAACGTGTTGACAGCAGCCGGCGATAAGACGATCTCACTCTGGGATCTCCGCAGCGGTCTGTGCGTGCAGACTTTTTATGGGCACGCAAATGCTTGCAATCATGCCATGTTTAACCTGAAGGGTGACACGGTGGCCTCCTGCGATGCAGATGGAATTGTGAAAATGTGGGACGTGAGAGTTGTTTCTGAGTTCCTGCAAATTGACACGGGACGCCATCCCGCCAACGCAGCAAATTTTGACCGAAGTGGCAAGATCTTGGCCATTGCGCAGCCGCCTTGGTTGCTCTGTGTGCCAGAACTGCTGACTTGCCTGAATGCGCTGAGATTCATAGACGCAGGTCTGGCGATGCTTCCATCAAGACCTTCAACATCGAAGACAAAGTCTTCGTTGCAAATTTAGAAGGACATGAAGATTCGGTTCAGGCCAGGAGATGTTCTCGGTGATTGGAGAAAGCATCAGCGCCGGCACATGTCTCGCCCTAAGGATGTGGTGTTCGAGCCGCAAGCCAACAAATTCCTCATTAGCGCATCCTCTGACGCGACCTTCTCCCTTTGGCAATGAAAGACATCTCTTTGAAATCAATCTTATGTTGTTGCGATGCAGCAATTCTATAGAGATGCTTGTCTCCCTACCCCCTGAACTTCTTGCATTTCAAGTTGATCTGGTTGCGCTGTCCTTAACCAAAGGCCTCTGTTTCACCCGAATGCGATGCACTGTCTTTCCCCTTTCGCAGCAGTCGATCGCAAACTATGCATTCGACAGAAAAGCTTTGAAGGGCTACAGAGAAACAAAGAGCCCGGGAGCCTTTTGCACGAACTTTGATCTTGGTAAAGGCGTTGCTTGCAAATTGCGAGGGGCAAATTTTATGATGCTGGCTTCTAGCGACTAGTGGTTTGTACCCTGCCCGCGTCACACCTCCGTGTGCCTCCAAGACGCAGCATGCTGGCACCCCTAGCTTTGGCTGAGCACTTTGAGTCCGTGCTTCGTCCAGCCTGACCTGATCTCGACCACCAAGGGCGCTCTCTTTGCGCGTGTTGGGGACCGCGGCAGCCGTCCGGCTCTTAAGTTTTTGCGATGGCATGGCGTGTTTTGTTGGCATCTCGTTACAGCGGCGCACTGTTGGACTTGGGCACTTTCTTCATATCAAAGCTGTGATGGGCAAGTTAACATCTCTGCTTTGCGTGCTAGATCTGAGCCCTAGGCCCTAACCCTAGACTCAGACCCTAGACCCAAACCCTCAAGCCTAAAAAGGCACCACACAAAAGTGAAGCCCTGAAGCTTACCCAGAATGGCAGAATTCGCCACTCTAAACCGATTGACCCATCCTGTGGATCCATCTGGACCTTGCAGCTTATTTCTGAAAATGTTGAAGAAACATTGCAATACATATTTAAATCCAACATAACCCAACCATAAACTCATGCATGGCGAATCATGCTAAAGCCACCTGAAGTTTGATTAGCTTTTGGTCGAAGTTCTAGTCAAACCCATGTTCGAATGATATGTTCAACATCCCCATGCACCCCATGGCCTTTGATGCTATCAGGTAGCAATCTCTAGCAAGGATGTATGCTGTACCCCGAGGTCTGCCATCAGCCGGAAAAACACTTACACCTTCCACTATGCATGCTACCTCATCGCAATACCCACAGTGTTGGAACTGAGGCTTCAGGTCATGAGCAGAGGGCGACAAAAGCCTGCCCATGGCAACTGCATCCAAGGGGTAAAAAAATCCTAAGCAATCCGGGCAATGCCCACCAGTGAGTCTTAATGATTCGAGGTCATGGGTCAGAGAACCCCCAAAGGCAAAGATGGGAACAGGCCTCAGAAGAGCGCATGCCCAAGCGTTTTGTGCATCACGAGTTTGTTTGGATGAGGTCAAACAACCACAATCCATTTCTCATGGATCTTCCTCATGGCGCAATGTCGTTCAGGGCTGAGAGAAATGGAACTTGGTGTTGGCCATGCTATGTATTCGCTCTGTTCCAAGAGAGTCCAAGAACCTGAGGGAAACGAGGCAACACTTGAGAAAGGCTGCTGATTCCATTGCTTGTGGCCCCATACAGCCTTGTTTACTTGAAAATTCCTCCACCTGTGAATCCGTGAGGTGCAGTTAGGTGCTAAAGCCTGCTTGGTATTTGAGTCACGCAGTCGCCATGTCATGGGGTGTAAGCCCTGACGTTGTGCTTCAGATCGCTCTCAAGCTTTGTGTTGTTGGGTATGTTGCGCACTGGAAGAAGTTGTACATTCACTTTGGCTGTGGTTGCTCTACTAATTTCGCCCCTGCTTCATTAACGTGTTCCCCAAAAAAACAATCCTGTATGACGCTGCATTTCGGCTTCTTGGTTGCAAAGGCCATCTGCGATTTGCTGACTGGTTGTCATCATGTCGCGCGTGTCATGAGGCCGAAGACGCCGAAGACACCAAAAACCCCGAAGACCCCGAAGACTCCAACAACCCCGAAGACTACGCTGGCCTTCAACCCAGAGGTTGGCTTCAAAACCATGCTTGTGTGGGAGTTTTGTGGTGACTTGAGAGGATCGCTTTGACTTCAAGTCGGCTCCTGCGCGCGGCGCCAATTCCACAAGGCGGCTATGCTGCCAGCAGACAACTCATTTCTTTCATGTCAGGCTTTCACCCAAGGAAAAGGACACAAGACGTGTTGGTGCTGAGAGGCGCAGCCTCTGGCCCGCATCCTGCTATCGGGAAGCCAATGTTGAACCTGCATCGAGGCCCATGCTTCTGGGTCGAGGGACGGCCACGCGTCCAGCTGCTGCGGCCCAAGTTCATTTCTGAGGAACTCAGCTGCAGAAAACAAATCAGTTCTTGAGAAATTGGCTCAGTCCTCGCCAGCCTCAAGCCCACCGGCAAGCGCCGCGTATGAGCCTGAAGAGGGCAGTACTTGCCAGAGAGCGCACGATTGTTCCAAACGTTGAGCTGAGGCGGAGAGTGTGCTTCGAGCAGGATAGCGAGTTGCTTTCCGTCATGTCCCGCGAGGTTTACAAGCACAATTGGATGTTCAGAGCATACCGCACGGTGACATGGGACCTAAATGTGGCAACCTCGTGGACTAAGGCTCACCTTGGCAGGCAAAGGCGGATCCGGGATCGGTCCCAGCCCCAAGTCCATTGGATGTAGCAGACTGCTTGAGCTGGGCACAGACACATCATTTGACCAAGGTTTGGTGTTTTTCGCGTATAGTGCTGTGCATTTGTCTCACACGAGCTCTGAACAAGCTGCCGCTCACATACGTTGGGACACCTTGTCGCATGCAGCCATGGCGATGTACATCATATGCCCAATGGAAACAAAGCGCAAGAAGTGTAGGCACTTCTTTGGGCTTGCTGATTGTTCAGGAGCTTGACTTGTCGAGGCAAGTGGCAGGCATGAAGACAATGCCGTCAAAAGAAATGTCCCAGCAGATGGCAATGATTTCAAAAGGCTTGCTAATCGTGATTGCTGGAGTTGTACACTGGTAGGCAGCACAGCTTTGGTTGCGTGCACTTGGACCTTGAAAACGGATGTCAATGCACTGACAGTGGTGTTGTGGTCACTGGGCTGGTCTAATGACATCCCTTCCAAAACATCCAGAATTCGTTGGCCAGCACCTTGAAAGGCGTCGCACGGAGTCGGCCTCGCGCTGAAAGCGCGATGGCAGAAGTTTTTCTGTGCGGAAGATAGCGTCCAGGCTCGAGTTGGCTTTCGGCATGCGCAGTTGCAGCTGCAATGAAGTGCCAGCAACTGCTGCAGCTGCGGCACAAGGTCGCAATCAGCATGGATTGAGTGCATTCTGCGGATTTACCAGGGTTTTTCAGATCTGCCACCAGTTGCGTAAATTTCTCAAGTTCGCAGAGTGCTTCAGCCAGGACATGTTTTTCCTCTAGTCTATAAGGTTTGAGCGCAGGCCATGTGTACTTTTGAGCAGCCACTGTTTCACCAGGCATGTGGACCCTTTGAACTTGATGAATAGCAAGCGCCTCGAATGGAATTTGCCAGCTGGTGAAATGGCAGCTGTATTTGAACTTTACACCGGCCAGACAAGCAATGGGCCCTTGCAGGGCGCTTCATTCAAGCTGGATGTTGCACAGAGACCCGCTGAAAACATGCTTGACATACTTGCGCTGCATCTCAAGGGTCAGACCTTGGCCGGCTGGTGCCGCACCTTTCCGTTGGCATTTGCCCAAGCATGCCCAAGCCTTTGCTTCTCTTCGCTTGTCCCATCTTGACTCCATGTTGCAGCATGCGAAGCGCGACGCAGCTTTTACTGTGCGTGCTACTTCTCTCTGTTTTTTTCTGGGCAACAAGGGGGCGGCTGTCAGGACGTCCCAAGATTTGCGAGGAACTTGGATATAAGTTATCACCGACTCTGCAGTCTGCCTTATACCGACCCTTTCAGTTGGCTGAGATTGATTCTGCTCAACGGGAGGCTGGATTAAACCAAGCGACCGAACAGCAGCAGCCGCTAGCAATATGGTTGGTGGGACCTTCTGCTGCTGGCAAGTCGTACTTGGCACGGAAGGGGGCAACAGATTTGGGAGTCAGGGTGCTCCCGTCCCAGTCACTGGACGCCGTGCTTTTGGATGGCAACGCGTTTCGCAACTGGCACGGTGGCTACCAGGCTGTAATACAAGAGGGCCACAGGCTGCAGTGTGTGTGGCAGGAGGCATACCCTGCCATGCGTTTCAGGCTGCAGCAGCAGAAAACTCGGCTGTTGCACAAAGCAGCCCGGCAGCGGCTCAACATCATTATTCCACACACTTGTGACTACCTTTCTGAGTGTGCACCTCTTCTGTACTTCCTGCGGAGACGTGGCTACGTCAACCACGTCATCATGATACTCGGCGACCGGGAGACAATCCAGCAACGTGGTAGGATACGAGCGCAGGCAACTGGAAAGAGATACGCTCCAGAAGAGTGGGACGAATCAGTCTCCAACGGGTTTAAGATGGTAGCATTGGCCACTGGATATGCTGAATTTGCTTGGACGACGCCAAGAACTAAATGGCTAGTGAAAAGAGGACTGCCCATTGATGTCTTCAATGCAGCAACAAGCTTTGGCATAACCGCTCCTCGCGTCGCGCGAATCCGCAGATCACCATTGCTTGAAAATGAAAGCATGCCCAAAAAGAGTTTAGCTTGTGCACCCTGTGCACCTGGAAACAGGAAACAGGGAAGCTTCTGATGATGTTCGTTACAGGTTGTAAGGTCTAAGGTAGGGGGTTTGGAGCTGGTGCAGTGCTGTTCTGTGCGACGGGTGCCTTTAGGATGACTTCGCCGCTCATTTCAACAAGTTGGGCCGCCAGTAGGCTCAGGCCCCAGGTAGCGTTCAATGCGTTCAAACAGGAAGTCTTTGTAGCACGGTAGGGCGAGTGAAGGCTGCAGCATTCCATCCACATCGCGAAGCAATCTTGAAATTAGTTACTACCTGAGGTTTGTATGGAGAATTCATGATGTGAGATGCCACGCTAACACTGACGGTCGCATGTGAGACAATGGGTCGGAAAGGCCGTTCGAAGGGCAACAGCTGGTGGGGTACTTCATGGGGTGCTTGGGAGATGCTCGCCTCGAATTAGTCACCCTTTGGCAGCTTCCGGAGATTTCCCGTGAGACTTTTGCAATCGAGGTATGCTGGGTGGGAGTCCTGGGACTGGCAAGGTTGGGAGAATGATGAGAGCAAGGCCAAGGCCTCCAAGGCTTCCGCCAGCAGCGAAGGTCCGGAGCCTTCTGGCAAAGGCTCCCAGGGCTCCCAGGGCTCCCGAGCCAAAGGCAACCAAAAAGATACCCACAGCGTGGAGGCAGAAGCCTGCCAGCCTGCGACGGAGGCAGCCGTAAGTGACGCTGATCACATGGAAGAAACGCCTGTGCCAAGGTCCGCTTTCGGCACACTGGAGGAGGAGAATCAAGATGATGAGCTCCTGGAGGTCGGTGAAGAAGAAGGGGAGGAGGAACAGCTTGAGGATGAGAATTCGGATGGTTGGGACGACGGGGAAGACGTAGAAGATGCAGAAGACGTAGAAGCGGAAGACGCAGAAGAGGAAGAGGAATCCGATTGTTAGGGGTGGACCGTGCTGGGTTCATCATGCTGTGCATGTTGTAAAGCGGCTTGGGGGTGTCCGCTTTGCATTTCTTGGTGCGCGGACTGGGTGCCTGCATAAGCGTTCTCGAGCAGCATGTCTTCATGTCAGGAGGGTTGCTGAATATTCTTGGTTCCTCTGCTCTCCCTCAATGTGAGCATGGAAGGAAGAGCTCGATGAAGATGAGGAAGAAGAGCAGGAGCAGGAGCAGGAGGAGGAAGAAGAGGAAGCAGCAGACGATGATGAAGCAGAGGAGCAGGAAGAAGAGGCAGATGAAGACGAAGATGAAGAAGCAGATGATTCAGAGCCTGACAGCGCATCCAGTCCTAAAGGCAAGGGCATGATGAAGGGAAAAAACAAAGGCAAAGGGTACGGCGGCAGCAAGGGCAAGCCCTCTGACGAGGAGTTTGAGGAAGATGAGGATGATCCCGAAGATGATTCAGATGAGCAGGAGAACCTCTCACCCAAAGGCAAAGGTGGTAGGAAAGGCAAAGGCAAAGCAAAGGACAAAAGCGCTGGGAAAGTAGTAGGAGCCTCGTTTGCACTTGTCCAGGCGCAGAATTTGCAGACTTTTGCAACAGGCAGATAGTGTAGTTCTGCCACTGGCAATGCCGCCTGTTTATGATGCCCATGGGACACATCTTGCTCAAAGGGTTTCTGGCTAAGAAGCGTCGGCATTGGACATGTCAATGGTCCCCTCACAGCAGGATGCAAAATCTTCACAATATCTCTAAAGCTCCACAAAATTTGATTCTGAGACTGAGCTTTTGGCACGATGATGCCACCTGTTGGTAGAAGTGTCCTATGAGGAAAAGGCAAGGGAAGTGCGGAAGATGACGAGGACGAAAGCGAGGATGATGATGGTGCCGATATGGTTGCTCACCTGCACTGCAGCGAATTTGAGAGTGGGTGCCCTTACCCGTCATTACTTCCCGTCAAAAGTAATCCTGATGCACTCCAATGTGTCCTTTCTGATTCAGGAAAGACGCAGACACCACATGCCGAATGCAACACCATCTAAGGTCTCAAAGGGGAAGAGCGCAGGAAAGCGACACTCAGATGATCCACCCAGCGATGTGGGTTGCATGTTTCAGCATGGCAAATCACTATAGTCATAATCTTGTGTCGTGTGAGCCAGAACGTCTCCATGGCAGGTTTTTTTTTTCTACTTGGCCAACCAACAAGATTGAGGCTATTCTCAATCACCTAAGGAAAAGGCCACAGCAAAGGGAAGAAGTGAACCCGCGCTCCTGCAGTTAATGCTAGACCGAAGCAAGCGCTGCTTGGTCAGAAAAGAGGGATGGCGCGCGTGTTTTCGTGATAGGAGATATGTAAGGGATGGGTATTGGATTCTCGACGGAGAGTTTGTATTGGAAAAGTATAACACACTCACGAAAACGATAACGTCAACGGATACCCTGAAAACTTGGAGAACGATAACACGCTCACCAATTTTCCAATGTCCAGTAGCCCAGACAACGAATAGAAGCGGTACATCGACGATGATTCAATGAGGGGTTGAGAGTGGTTCATACGACAGCGTGGCGACCCCATTCTTGTAGATGCTTTTTATATTGACGGACGGCCAAGTGTTGCGCTTCTTCCCTTGGGTTGGGCGAGAAAGCACTTTTCAGATAAATGCTGAGCGAGAGAACCATACCAGATTACTGGAGTGAGCATGAGTGAGCTGTGAGCGCCTTTCCCTGGCCAGCTGCACTTCCTGACCTTGTTCGGCTTACAGCGCGCCATGCTACCCTTTCACGCGACAAGGCTTGAGCCCACAGTTGCCTCACCACTTCTGGTTCCTGTACGCTCAATCCTGGTGATTAGCTGATCCAGTTTTGAAAGATCCTGAAAGGCAATGCGATTTCCAATGGCATGCCAGAGTTCATCCAGGAAGAGCAGGCAGTGCGGATGCTCGCCTTTCTGCTGCCTGCAATGTTGCTTGAAGATAGCAGGCCCTTGCCGGCGTGGCCCATGCCACAGAGCCTGCCATCAGACGAGCAGCCCTCAGGTTGAGATTTAAGCAGCCTGCGCATTGGTAGCAGTGCTGTGTCATGGCATGCCGAGGTGCTGAAAAGGAGGTCGAAAACAGCACCCTCGCAATGCTGCAGGCCTTGCGAACCGCGAAAAGTGTGCCTGGCAAGGACTGCTGCAAGCCTGCTTTTTAATCTTCATAAAAGTTGCGTGAAGGCCAACGTTTTGCTTGTTGCGGGCCTCTTGGTTTCAAGATCGGCTTGTCTAGCAACATCTGGCAGCAGCTTGACGAGTGTCCCTGTGGAGTAAAACGATTGCTGTTGGTTTGCGGAAACTGAATGTAAGCAGAAGTGCCAGAACCTGCGAAACTTACTGTGGGTTACAACTTTTAAGTAAGGGCCTTGTTTGTTTGGTAAGTCAGTTAATTTTCCAAGGCATGCTTTACTGAGTCTCTACTGCATCGTCAAATCTGAATTGATGCATGATTTTTGGAGACTACCTTGGGAGCATCATCACGCAGCATTCAATTCCCCATCATATCCGCGAGCTCAGATGACTCCGCGTTGCAATTTCCAGTCACTGCACGCATGATGCAACTTGGGCTTGGTTTGTGCCAGGAGCTTTTGAGACTGATTGAGGAGCACTCCCTCTCTTGTGAGGACGGGCCCCACTTGTCGTCGTGCAATGTGGCGGTGCAGTTGCTCACAACAGTGCTGGCAGGAATATGCCGAAATACTCCCTCAAGCCTGGAGCAGGACCTCGGAAAGTGTAGGGGTTCTTCTTGCATGCGCTTTGGCTGGATCAACTTTGCCTAGCGCTTGGCTTGTGCCATCCGGCATGCAGGGTCAACAAGCTCACGGAAGCTCTGCGCACAGATCTGCGAGGGTCAGGTGGGAGTTCACCCTGGGTGTGCGCAGTCCAGTTTCCGACAAAATGTCAACTCTCTAGCAGCTAACGCGCTTGGCCGGTGAGTTGTTGCATGCAGCACCAACGTCTTTGTGATGTATACCCCACCTACGATGAAGACAAGACGAGCTTCTGAAGTTCTTCAACACAAGTGGGTCCTTTCACGGGCAAGAACCAGTCAGCATTGAAGAATGTTTAAACACGTCTCCAGGCATGGAGAAAGCAAAAGATAGTTTCCAGCCCAAGCCAAACCGTTCCTGTGATTCTTCCCATGTTCCCACGGGGGTGCATGGAGGCTTCAAGGAATTGCCTGCAGATGCTGCGACGCAGTCGGCTGGACAGCTTTGTTTTTGGTGGTGTTTCTGAGCTTGGCCGTGGCAATATCATCGGAGCCATCTTTCTGATTTGTCTCAAGAGCAAGACAGAGGGTCTTCACTGAGGTCTGGCGTCTTCAGGCCAGCAGATTCAGCAGTTCCTGCACCATTCCGGCCGATATGGTTTATGCACACCAGCCTGACCCTGCAGTGAATTCCTATCTTCACTGGGTGTGGCGACAGACTTGCCGCAGAATGTGCCGACGCAGGCATAAAATCTTATTCCACAGATGTGGACATATGTGAGGATCATCCGCAAGTTTTGCCAGGTAGTGGCTCTGCCTTCCGTCACTCCACTAGAACCTGCTGACCAAGCTATCGAACTTGGAGTCCTGCAAAAGCCTGAATTCGTGAACATTGTATCGAAGGGGTATTCTATACAGTTGCTTGTCGGCTAGTGTTCAAGGCTGGATGTGCTAAACCCTCGGCCACGAAACAAGGTGGTGAATGTGGATCTTTCTGCGTTCCGCTTGCGAGGTTGGACCATCTGGAGCAAGGACCGGCCAAAGCGCTGCAGGCCGCGACCGTAAATCAGCGGAAGTGTCTTGCATGCTGGTTGGCCGTGCTAGCCGCCTGTTAGCAATATGCGATGCTGCTATCTCAGGGTAAGAGGTCGCGGGCAGAGATTTGGCAAGCAGCTTCTATGAGTCAAGATTCTGGTTAAGATGATCATGGATGAAGTACGCAAACTAAGACAACACAGTAACGGGTGGATTGCACCAGGCTGGCCGCAGGCTACAGAGTGAGCTCAAGGCGCCCGCCTTGTTGCATGCTGAATTGGGGGTACCAATTCAACATGTTGTTGCCTCTGGGAGAACTGAGCGAATGAATGCAAGGGTCTGCGCCAGGTTGAAGGGGCACATAAACTTGAGAGACCTGCGAACAGGGACTTTTTCCATCCTTCAGCATGAAGGTGGGGCCTCTCAATGATGCCTATAGTAAGCCTCTGGAAGACAGGGTATTTGCCTGTTTCCTCCTTTTGCGTCTGCATGTTTGTACGTGGTTTGCATGATTTTGCTGGTTTGTACGCGTTTAGCTGAAGACGATGAAAGAGCTTCATGTTGATAAGGTCAACTGTTTTTTTGAAAAGAGGCCTGTCAGCCAAATAGGTAGCGTTCAACATTTTTCCTTCGTGTCTCTTGCTATACCATTTACAAGTCCTGAGGCCTCCCCTTCAAAAGTCGAGCTTCTTCTGGTTGTGAGCTTGAGCAGTAGGCAGTACAACTTGACATGTCAGCAAGTTGCGTCTGCCTGTTTTCGGGGCACGGACACCTTGTGAAGTTGCTGCCATTCTCGCTTTGACTCACTCGCGTACCTTGGTGAACCCAATGCCAATTCGAGAGCTTGCAGGAGATGGTCAGACTGTTGCAGAGGTTGCGGGCGGATTGCTGAGATGTTTGACGGGTGTGTCTGTAGCAGAGGGTGCAGAAGCGACTTTCGTCCAAGCGTGTCCTGCCAAATGCAAAGGCTTCCTGGCCAGAACTTCGAGCTTCTGTGGAAGGAGCATTCGAATCTGGGACACACATCAGGCCAGCTCTGCGAGTTTGCTGTGGATTCTCTGTTGCTGTTTCTGTTGATGAGCAATCCGACAGGACAAAAGACCTAACACAGGCCTTGAAACAGGCAGGATTGTAACGGCACTCTTGATTCGCCCCTGCCTGAACATGTAGCCATAGATCTGCCATAGGTCTTGCAGTTCCGAAGACAGCTCAGTGCTGCTGTCCCGAGCATCGAAGCGCTGCACCTGCCTCGAAGCCTCGTGTTCCTCTTTGTTAATGTACTCCGTGCATATGACCTCAACGCTACTTGAGCGTTGAGGTGCGATTCTCTGGAAGATGCCACGGAGCAGGTGCGCCAGCGGGAAGAGGACCGGCGTACCTCATCTGAGTGGGTGCGGTTCCAAAATGGCACATCAACTCAGGGTTTCTCGAAAAGCACGGGTTTGCAGGCAAACCAAGTTTTGGGCAGAGGCAGGACTTCCTGATGAGTAGACGTCCGTGTCGAGGAGCGCTTGCGCTTCAAAGCCATGACGCGGGAAGTTCTCGATGGTCAGAACAAGGCAGTGAAGAGTCATGTGACTAAGCAGCCGCAACGTGCATATTTGTTAATGGCTTGAAGTCCGCGTGCATGTAGAAAGGCAACTTGTGTGTCAGCAGGGCTTGTATGGTATGCTGCACAGTCCCAGCAGCAGCTACCATCTCATGGCTTGCTCAAGCTTTTGAATATGTTCCTGCGGCTTTGAGTTCTCAAGACCCCAATCTTGGAAGCATGTGTAGATATCGTGGTCATGACAAAGAAATGCCATTCCACTCCTATTAGCTTCGTTTATGGATGGCAGCTCCAATAGTGCAAGGAGCAGTTTAAGGCTTACTTAGAGATCCAGGTCTGCTAGATGCAAGGGACAGCTTCTAGGCTTAAAGGCTGCAATCTTGATGCGACGGGCAGTGCTGGGTCAAGTGCAGTGGAGTGTGGATGAGTACAGCGAGCCAAAGTTTGCTACGCATGCGGCTTGTGTACGGCAAGCGGCCTCCTTAGCCCCATTGGACCAGCCAGAATGTTTGACAGTTCGGATGCGCAATGCCATGTCTTTCTTTCAGCAGGATGGTGATTTGTGCGCAGATGCTGTGGAGCGGGTCAGCTCCTCTCGCAAATCATGCCGCGCAAATGCTTCCTTTCTGGGATTTCCACGCGGTGCCAAGAAAGATCTGCGCAAAACCCCCAAGCTAAAGCGAAATGTGCAGATTCGACTGCTGTTCCAATCGCCAGAGATATATGCCACTGACGTCGGTGATGAAATACCTCACATGGGCTCACTTCATGGCTGCAAGCTGCCTGACTCAGATGGCAAAGGCGAATCCGGGCTCATACATCCAGAGATTACGTTCAATGCGTTGCCTCCAATCTTTGGAGGAATTCGTGAGGTGCACGTCCATTTGGAGGATCTAACAACAAATCAGGTCTTTTGGGATGCTGACTTCAAGCTGCCCATGTTCGACCCGATCGTAAACCTGGTTGGAAAGACCCGGGTGAAGAAGTATTCGATACCGAAGAACATGGCCGATATGTTCCACAAACCTTGCGTGGCGCGAGACGACATGAGACCACACTTCTTTGATTTGAGCATTCGCACACTGGGCAAGTACTGGGACGAAGTCTTGCAGGAGTGGCGGCCTAACAAGGGCTTTAAGGGTAGAGGGCCTGAGGCACATATCGGATTTCTGGTGCAGAGGATGCCTGAGCTGTCTTTTGACGGCAAAACCGAGCAGCTGGGCTTGCGGACGAAACCTGGATCTTCATATGCGGCAGCTGGTGAAGTGATTCAAGACCCGTTCGAGCGAGTGCTTGCTGGACATGAGGATCCCTTTTATGACAGCATGAAAGGGAAAACTCAGCGTGGGTACTACGATTACATCATCACCAAGGGTGGACGCACGAAGGACAGGTTTGATTACCTTGCAAAGTATGGACCACAGCTACTCCTTGGAGTTCCGGCTGCCATGGAAGATGATGATGACTCTGGAAACCCGTTTGGCCGTTGAGCATGGCAACGTGAGCGCGGACGGAGAACAAAAGACCCTGCTTTCTTTACACTGAGTTTTGCTTCCGGCAGAGCTTTGACCCAAAGAGCATTTGGGAACAGCGCAAACATGACAGGCTCTTGCAGCACGAGTGTCTGCGGTCCTGTGGCTACGTCGCTGTGGTAGATCAGGCTGGGGTCTGATGCATCTTGTTGTGGATGGCATAATCGCAAAACGGCCAATCAAGCTAAGGTGCAGCGAAGCCAGACCAGTCAAGGCTTGACCAAGTCCCGCAGCGGTTTTGCTGTCAGATCCTGTGCATCTCAAGGTTCGACGTCGAGCAAGCCTCGGAGGCGTGAAACACTCTTGCTTGAGCACAGGATTCGACAACACGATTCCTCAGTGTACAAAAATGTGCTTGCTGCAGGCACTCGAACGCAACTTGGAGGCAACACGGGATCGGGTGGGCGAGACAAGTACTATTGTTATGACTCACCGCTTTTTGCGAAGCCGTTTATGTTTTATGATGTTTTACGCAGTTCCCGCCCTTTGATTGATATCTGAGCTTCCGTTCGTTCAGCAATGTTCCTCTTCTTTTCGGCGGCCTTTTCTCTTCCATTGCATGTGCTGCCCAATCTTTGGTCTGTCTTGCTTTTGCACGGTCTGTAGGTCTGTGCGACGATGACTCATGACTGGGGTGACGAGAGATCATGTGCCATGAGCTCCGAAAGGGACCTCCCGCTAAGAATTTGGAAGCTTCTCTCCAGCAGCTTGGCGGGCCTATCCCCAGCCACGATAGGAGGCTCCTCAGTTTTCATGATTTGCATCTGACTGCTCTTTGTTTACAGCCCGGTGACAGGGCAGCAGCGCAGCAGCAGCATTCATGCAAGAAGATGTGGAAATCTTCCAGGCTGCCAAAGACATGGAGAGTCGGCTCGTGAAAGGGGCTGGAACTGCCTGACTCACAAGTCTTTCTCTTTCTGGTTTCAACCTATTTGTGGGAAGAGCTCACAGGTCATGAAGAGGGAAGCTTGCCACCAAGTCGTGCAGCGAACTGTTGCCAGGCCCAGTCTTGGCATTGCACGTTTACATTCAACCACCCCAGAATTTCAGCCATGTGGTTGCAGTGAATGGGGGGTTACATTCGTCATTGCTGGAATGCTAACGCTGCCAATGTTGGCTCTGCCTGGAGAGCAAGACTAGAGCTGGGTGAAATGTGCAGGCTGTCCGTTTTGCGCGGCAAAGTCCTGGCTGCCGCGGAGACGGTCAAGACAGCCAGGCCAATTCGGCTACCTTTTCTTTGTCTTCATGTTTCTTGCCGGTTGTTTGCGCGCAGGGCAGACTTAGCCGGAGCACGGCGAAGCAGTCAGCTAGCCTTGACGGAAGCACGGTCACCCAGCATTCAGATCGGAAGCAAAAGTTGCAAGACCCAATCGGCTGTAGAGAAATTCGTGGCAAGGCAGCGGCAAATGCTCTGGAGCAGCTCATGCTAGCTTTGGACGAGGCAGCACCTTACACAGCTGCATGCTGCCAGTGCATACTGCGGCAGGACAAAAGTTCGCCACACGGACGTCAGTTGACATGTTGTCTACGATGGAAACCCTTCCTCCCCTTAGACTCCTAACGCAGGCTGTCCGTCGGGAACTTTATAGTAGTATAAATTTATTCCCGGCAATGAACTACTCCGCCACGCTGGCCATGTAAAATGACACTTTTGCCCTCTCCGCTTCTCCGCGGTACTGTAGGCTAGTTGNNNNGTCGAAACTTTCGTCCCGGGGGTGCGCTTTTGAGCACCTCGGGCATGCACCACCTGCGAGCTTCGGCTCTGCGCCTTGCGATGGCACCAGCCCTACTGGCCCTGTAAGTTGCTGTAGAAGTGCCCCGAGCTGTGTGTTTGTTTTGCCTGTGTTGCAGCAGCCTCGCGCAACGACGCTAGTTGTTGACAGTGTATATCGGGTATCGTGGGTGTCGAGTTAGGCAGCAACTTGTGCCCCTGGTTGGGTCACTTAAAAGTGGATGCAGTGCTGGAGGGTACCGCAAGTGCACCAGGCAACCTCGCATGTGGACGCTGGTGGTGGTCAACGCGGGCGTACCGGTGAAGCACAGGCCATAGCCATGTAAAGTAAGGCCAAAGCTTAACCCAAGCTAGCAACATGTCACAGGTCGCTGCCGTGGTTGGCGGCGATTCACCTACATCGCCTAGTTCTGCGGTAGCGGAGCTGCCCCGTGCGTCTCCAACAGAAGTGCTTCAGGAGAACCTGAGACCCAGCAATGTTTATCCCCAGCTTGGACCCTGCTTTCCTCTTTTTGCATGAGACGTTTCCAAAACAAGTGCAAACCAAAGCGGCGACACGCTGCAACTGTACCTTTATGGCAGAGGTTTTGCGCAGTCAAACGTTGCTGTTTCGTTTCATGTTCTTGTGGTTGAGGAAGTCACTCTGCCCAGCAGGAATTGCAGACGTCCATCACAGATGGCCTCGTCGCGATGACTAGCAAGTTGGCAAGCTAGGAAGCCAGCTAGCGTGTGCCCTGGGTAGCATGTCCAAGAATGAACGTGCAGTTTCACAGCGTTTCACCAGATCGTTCAAGATAGCATTGAAGATCTGTTCATGATTATTCATTATTGCTTTGGTTTTTCGGACAAGCAGCTGCATGCAGTCGAATCATGAGCTTCCGCAGTCATTTGGGTTCATGGGGGACTTTCTGGCGGGCCTGCTTGAGGGCAGCAGCCCCAGGATGCCTCAGAACTCTGCCGTGGACACTTGACCTCTCCCCTCACAGGCCTGTACCCAAGCCCCAACCAAGCTAACCCCCCAGACTTTCTAGTTGTTTTTATTTTGTACGCAGGTTACTTTCATGCGGACATGTGTCTCCATGCTTGAAACATTCTTGGCATAATGATTGTTGCAATGATCACGGACTGACCTTCCGCATGAATTGCCAATCAGGATTCTTGCCCTTCCCATTTTTCTCTTGCTTTTGAAACGAGCCTCCCTAATCCCTTCAATCACTGCATCTCTTCTCATGTTCAGCATCTTTCTTTCAATGCTTTCTATGTTTAGGTTTGCCCTTTTACATACTTCATCGCTACTGTTACTTTTGGTTATGTCCATGTTCTTTGTGCTGGTGCTATTCTTCTTGCTGTTCGTACTCTGCCCAATGCTGCCATCAATAGCAACAATGCTTACTCATACTCTGTTTCTCGCCGCTACCATTTGGCCTTCAACAATGGGACATGACTTTGTCATGATTCTTATTGGTTTGGCAGTCAATCCTGTGAGCGTGTGTTTGATCATCTCTCATTGTTGCAAAAATTGTTCTTATCATTGTTTATTGGTGCTAAAATTTCATCTCTAGTAATTGTTCCTGGTGAAATGGAGGCCTCCGCCAGTTCGTGTGTGCCGCTCGAACCGTCGTCGTGCATCGAGGGAAAGCGGCTGCATTCTGTACCTGGCAGCGTCTTCTGCCTTTCCGGAAGCTGGAGCTTGCCTGGCGGTACGAGGCTGGCAATGTGGCCCGTTTCCCGATGCTTTGGCGTGCTTTGGCATTTCCGCTGTAGCGTTGAGCTGGTATTGGATGGCAGGCAGGAGCTTGGGCTTGCTTCAGAGTCCCCGCCCTGCAAACTTACTTTTTTGAGGCTTCTGAGGCATTCGTGAGCAAGAGTGGGGTGCTGGGGTGGAGCCGTGGGGAGGGCTAGAAAGGTGGGGTTCGGAAGCTCAGTTAGAGACGCATATTGTGGATGGTTATGAATGGCCCAAACATGGGAGTGCCTTGTCTACCCCAAGTTCTATCACGATGCTGGTTTTTCATGGAGTTTGCTTTCCAGGCTTGTCTGCTCGACGTTGCTCGACTGCTGGAGGAGGGTCCCACTCTGGCTTGGACGAGCTTGTTCCCTTGAGGGTCTGCGCCAGGTTAATGAGAGTTGATGCTGTTATAGACCAGAGGCATGCCCGCAAGAGAGCTGTCTGGAGGCTGCGGTTGTAAGGCCTCGCCCCACGTCACCCCTTCTGCGTTCTCTTTCTTATGTCGTGCGTGTTTCTTGTGTTCCTCGGTGTGTTTTACGGCTTGCAGATGCTAAAACCCAAATCGATGACAGAATAGTACAGTCACGAGCATTTTCAAACCCAGAGGCCGAACTGCACAAAACACCGCCACTGTCTGGTGCAACGATCCTGATAACTTGGGCCAACACATCGTCCGAATGCTCAAAATGTGTCAAATGTAGCAGAGATCCGGGATCCGCCCTCACTCCTGTTGGGAATTCCAAATTTGAATAAAGGCCTCTCACTGTGATCGCTCATTGAACTCGGCTAGAGCAACAATAAAACTGCTACAGAGAGAGTCACCACTTTAGTTGTCACAGAAGCAGGAACACTTATGATAGCCTTCATGGGAAGCGCAACAACAGAAGAAATACTGGCAACCGACTTACTTGTCAATTCGTTTCCAGTTCTGAAGTCCGCATCCTACGTTCAGGTCAGTCTATCGAATTTGCTTAAATGCTGACCAGAACCTCCAAATCCCTATCAGATCCTGTCCACGCTGCTCAAGTTTCCGCCCCCTCGCACGGGCAGCGTTGACCATCTCCTATTCGTTGCCATCCGAGGAAATTTTCGCACATCCTCATCTATTTTCGACCATCATGTCTGCGCAGCCTCAAATGCGAAGCTGACGTCCTGGAATCCTTGACGAAACTCCTCCAAACCCAGTTGAGTCTCGCAAATCGCCGCTCCAGAAGATGCCAGTTTAAGTAAAAACGAAACGAGAAAATGACAACCACGCACATTGAACACTTCGTATTCCTCATGCCTTCCTGTTTGCGTTAGTTCCATGTCACAATGTTTGTCTGCCTCCAAGTCTCCGCAAGAATATTTCCTGAGTCTGTAGGTATTCTGCGTTCCATAGTCCCTGCAAGCTGAAGGCTTTGGTTTGCCTCTGAATGCTTCTCTCTGCTTTGACGCCTGTTAATATGTCTGCCTTTTCCTGTCTGTTTCCTTCGAAGACGCTTTTTCCTTTGCATTGTTTTTCCTCTTCTTCGCTCCTTTTGATCTATCGCTCCTTTATGCATCCGCCTGGCTCTTTCTGCTTTGCGCACTCTCTGAGCCTCTCTGTCTTGCTCTGTCTTGCTCATGGCCTCAGGCTCTGCCTCCCCTTTCCACTTGCAGCTCGGTTGCCCTGACTTCAGTCGGGGCAGTTCCACTAAAGAGGACGAGGGCCAACAGGCATTCGGGAAGACTCAACTTGGGAAGACTCAACTTGGAGTTGAAGGGGCAGAGATGTCATGCCAACTCCTACATGTGTGCAAGTCGTTGGGCAAGTTTTGCGGTAAACCGGGAGCGGCCTGAAAGACAGGCCAGTCATCAGTGCTAGGACCACACACTTGTAGAACCAATCCGGCTTGGAAAGAAAAGATGTTCTCACCTGGCTGTCAAAGCTTCTAGCATTGACACTTGCCTACAACTGGCTTTTGAGAATCTCACGCGAACTTGCAGAGAAGAAGCGCTTCCCTCTTCGCATCTCTTCGCATCTCTTCGCATGTCTTCGCAAAAGACGCAACTTCCACTTGTGTCTAGCCTCTGGCCAAGGTGAGGACCCGCGAGCATGGCATCACCTGCAGCCGAGCTTGCAAATATCCAGGCTGGGTCCGGTATGGCATTAGCGGATTGATCAAATGTGCGCGAAAGGCAGAGCTGCAGTCCGTGAAGAGGGCTTTGCAGAATGGCGCATGGGTCTGAGTGCTAAAATAAGAGAGCTGCAGTGCAGAATGGCCTGAGGACCACCTGTCAGAATTCGAGTGTGTGCAAGAAGTCATATCCATGCAAGCACGTAATCCACACTAGATCGCAGTCAGCAGGAATTGCGCACTGAGGCGGCACATCTTGGTATGCAAGGTGATGCACTGCAGAAGTATTTGCTCCTGTTGAATGAGAAGGCAAGACTGAACCATGTCTGTGGACCTGCGATATAAGCAACTTGCTGGCTGCCACCAGCTTGCAGGAGAATCTGATGCTGTCAAAGCAGCTGCGCAGCTTAGCGGCTTGCCAGCACAGGTGTAGGTCCAGGTCAGACAGTAAAACACAGGGTTGCAACGCCTTTTTTTTTTGGGGGGGGGTGGCAAGTTTTTTCTGCTTCAGTGGTCGGTCCTCCGGTCCCCTGGTCTTCGGTCCCTGTCTGTTGAGTCTCTTGCCTTGGGTCTTTCTTAAAAGGAGTAGGCATAAACAAGAAACACATCAAAGACACATATCTACATAGATATATATATATACATATATATATACATCGAAGAACAACACATAGAACGACAAGTGTGACATATCTTTGCCAATGCCACACGTGGGGAGGTGCCGTGGTAGACTTTAGCCACAAGCTTTGACTTCACATACGCCAAATGCTATGTTTACCAGCACTCACGGCCTGCAAGCACCCCTGGGACGCCGCGCAACGGCTGCTGAAGTACAAAAATGCTACATTTTGCAATACTTGCTGGCCCGACACCGGAACACAAAATTCATGCACAGCATAGACATATGATACATGTTTTCCCAAAATAGTTCCGGGCCCATCTGTCAGTGTGTATGTTTTGGGTCTGACCTCTTAATCGTAAAGCCGCAGTGTTCATGCAAGCTGGCCTTTGTTGTTTCAGTGGTGTCTTGCCAAAAATGACTGCGTTTCAGGCAGCCGCTGAGAACAGCGAGCCGCTGCTCGCTGCTAGGCGCTCGGCGTAGGGAGAGGAGCGGGAGGTGCGGGCTCGGCGGCAACTCGCCGCTGCGAGTTGCCAGAAGGGATCAGTTTGTGACGGGTGCTGTGACGTGGTGTAGCACACGCCATGATCAACAGTTGTACATGAGAAGCGCAAGTTGCAAGCATTCTGTAGATTACTGGGATGGTTTTGTTGCCGGTTTCAAGCGGCAAATAGGATCTTGAAGACACTGCTTTTCTGCTACGTGCTCGCGGTGGGCGCTCATGCAGAATCCGTTCTTGTTTGTTGTTTAAAATCTGCGTATGTGCCACGCGCTCGATGGCTGAGGCCTCTGATGAGGAGTAGGCGATGTTCTTTGAACATGTTCTTGTTTGGCTCGTGCGATGAAGTCACCAACTACTGAAGACATGCAGCATGCATGCATGGGCGTCAGCATCACTTCTTTGCAACTTGCCCTCAATGCTGTCAAGACAGCCCTGCATAACTCTGCGTGCAGAGTTTCGACTCCTATGCGAGGGAAGGGTGTGCGGGTGTCGTCCCACAAAGTCTAAGAACGTTTGTGCGGGTACACAGACGCCATAAGAGACGAACGGCGCGTGATGCCGGGGCTTTCGGTAGTCACGGCAGCCTGTCACTCATGCAGAGTTGGGGACTAGCTTCAGAGATGTGGTAAAACCTCACCTCAACAGAATTCGCAGCTCTCGAAACAAAAAGAAAAACAAAGATCCGCTTCAGCACCCTTACCAAACAGCATTTGCCGGCAATGTCACAGAGCCTGCCTCATGCCAATGTAGCATGGCGCGCTGAGTTGAAGGTGGTCTTGCTGGCGGGCTTTGCTCGCGGAATTGGACCTAGCAATTGTGTCCTGAGGCATCATCAGGTCCCGTACGGGGATATGCAGGCGGCGGCCAGGCGACGAATGGGTCACTGACCCAGAGCTGCAGGTCTTTCGCGCAGGTATGAGGCTACCATCTGTCTAGCATGCATGCAGCAATGCTATGCCATGCAAAGCAGAAGTGGAGCCATGTACTGACGAAGGTCTCAGCCAGCTCGACCGGCACCAGGCGGAGATGTCAAGGCCTGTTTGTCAGACTTTCTCTTTTTCAACAATGAGCTAGGGAACTTTGCTAGATCCATGCTACAGACGCAGATGTTCTTTCAGCGTTTTGCCAAACCGTACTTCCGGACAGGCCTTCAGCCGGGAAAACTTGCAAGAGGTGGTTGTCTGAGCTGCTGCTGGCGTTTGTGAAAACGTATAGTGTTCTTGGAACGCTGCATCCTTTCATGTCATGTTCCCTCTTTGCTCAAGGTCTTGATGCACATGGCAGAGTATGAGGCCATGCGTGCTCGCCACTTGCAGGGTTCTATCTTGCGGCATGCGTTCTCAGCACAGATCGGCGTAAGCTGCTCAGTGCCCAGCATCGTGCTAGGCGCTGCCTGCTGAATGCGCCAGGTCCTTGGGTGAAGGAACGAATGAATACATTTTTTTTACGAAAGATCGCTGCCTGTGGCAGCGGGGCTTCCATGCAGGTCAGAAGGTGGAGTAGGAACAGGTTCTAGAGAGCTTTGCCGGCGACGGCTGCATTCAACACTCAAACAAGTGCAGGCAGAGAGAGAGAGAGAGAGAGAGAGAGCGAGAGAGAAATTCTCTGTGACGGAGTGCAGTCTCCCAATGAGGGAAACCAGGGTGTCTCGTGTATAGTTGCTGGAGGGCCTGCTGGAAGTGTCACAGCCAGCTCGAGGTAGGGGACAGTGTGGGGATGGTAGTAACCAGGGTTCTAGTCTGGGCTACGCAGTCCCTGCGCTCGCTGGTCCCGACCGGACGGCTGCGAGGACGCTTTTGGTCGGGTGTTCACCCCGGCTCCCCTGTAAGGGGGGGGCTTAGCCCGAAGAATTCTCTCTCGTGTTTGTCCTGCTTTGCCTGGGCTTCACCGACCTTGAGACGTGCGGACCCTTCCAGCTTGGGCAGTGCCCCAGCCCTCCTCTTTGGGGGTGGGTATAGCAGTGAGAAATAGTGAGAAGAAGAAGAGAGCCAAACTCAAACACATGCAGGCAAAGCAGCAGGTCATTTGCGACAAGTACCGAAGAGTTGCGTGGAATGCTGAGGCCAAAGCTCTCAAAGCCCTGTCTGCACTTGCTTATGCAAATGCCCGCGCGGTTGGCCAGGCCAGTGCTGCCAAAGTAGCTCCAGATTTTTGGATGTGCATTTGAGTCTTGAGGACGAGAAGGTGTTGCCTACTTTGCCCGGGCCTTTGCTTGGGAATCTGGCACGGTGCCAGTGGGAGCCGTTTATTCAAGGCTTCGCGTGGTCAAGCTCCACTCCGCCGAGAGTGCTGCAGCCTTACTCGACATTCAGCATGCGCGTGATAATCCATTCTGGACAACAAGCAGATGGCAGGCAGTTCAGCTCACGGCAATGAGAGCAGTCTCGAACATGGCCTACGACCAGGACAACATGCACAGTAGACCATGCTGCATTCCAAGCATTCCTGAAATTTCGACCGCCTGCACAATTATCCACATGAAGTGCATACAAAGTGCGCATCTGACACAACCTGTTATAGCAACGGAAGTTGATATCTCTGCTTGCATGTTTTTTTCATAGCTTCAAGTCGCAGTTTCTGCACTAAGCTTTAGCAATGAGAATTTCGGAGTGTTTCAGAATCCTTCCGCTCCCAAGCATTGCAGTGGCTCAAATGGACGCCCTTGAATGTGCACAGAATTCCTCTGGTGGACCTTTTCTCTTGGGATTAGCCCTGGGCAACCCGCGTTCGGTGAGCCGCAGCTTCGGGATGTAACGGAACATGGATAGTTTGACTGCACGAGACGTAGTTTAGAACGCCCCGCGGCATATTGGCTGGACCGTGGGCGTGGTATGCTATGTTCGCTTTGGCCATAGTAGCTGGTAATTTCTGTCCAGACGGAGGAACTGGTTAAGCAATGACGGTCTCGGGAAGAGGTCTGACGAAGTCCCCGGCATAGCCAGCCATGTCGCTGTACGCTGGGATTTTTGGAATGTTCTGCGACCATTGCATGGGTTGATCGTGCCGGTGACGATGCCTTAGTCGAGGCCGTGGTTCGGATGCTATCGTGCCCTCAAGGTTCTCTTTTGCATGGCGGCCTGGTGTCACTGGGCCAACTCCCAAAATCCAGAGAAGGTGCTCAATACCTGGCTCCTCATTCGTGTTTAGGGATACCTTGCAGCATGTTGCAAAGTGACTTCTCACCTCTTCTTGCAGCCGTGCCTTAAGGATTAGGGGCGGTGTGGAGTCGCGTACTGGTGTCAAGAGGCCCTGGCTGATCACCCATCTGGCACTGTGAGGAAATCGCGCTGACGAGATTAGCTCAAGCTGATGCCGCTGCCTCCACTTTTAGATGTTCTTGGCAGTAGCAATTGGCTGTTTCGCGCAAGCCTCAGGTCATGGGCCAGCTTCTGTCTGCGATGGCATCGAAGGCTGAGCCCAAGGACTGCAAGTGCATGAGTGTTGTGCTCTTCATCATTGAAAGCTCCCGCGCCGTCATGCACTTCAATCATGAGTCACTAATGAATTTGCAAACGCGTGTCATGTTGCTTGCCGTCGAAATTGCTACCCGGTCGTCCTACGACATCCGGCACTGTGCAAAGCCCACATACGTGTTCTGCATAAGATGAAGTAATGCAATAAGATGCAACAAGCTTGTTTGAAGGTCTTCGAGTGCAATGGAATAGAGACCCTGCGCATGGAGCATGCAGCTCGTAAAGGTGCCGCCGAAAAGTAGCTGCATCATCATGAAAAGGGTTGGCCATTCTTGCATCGAACAAAAATGGCCGACGTCTTCTGCTTGACTTTTCATGGGGATACTCGGACCCAGTCACCTGTGTTGTCGGCAATGTCTTGATGGCAGCGACTCTTAAAGTCTTTGCAGACATGGGATGGATGCTTAGCAGGAGATTGGTGCCAGGGCCAGCGAGGCTTTGGCCAGAATTATCGCAGCAGAGGTGCGCTTCGAGGTTTGTTCGCCCGTCTGTAAACTTTGCACGTGACCGTCCCCAACACTTGGAAAGGTTAAACCAGAGAGCGAGGGCGCATGCCTCAGCTGCATGGTGGAAGTTTTGCATCAAACTTTGCTTTGATTTGGACATCTGAGCCGCTTCTGCAGTTTGAGTCAAGCATTGTACTGTAGCAATCTAGACGTTTGAGGCGTATTGAGGCAATTTTTGGAAAGTTGTCCTGCGTTGCTGAGTTGCTTGGAGCATGGCTTCCCAGCACGATTTTTTCCAACCTGAACTTTGAAAGTTTTCATGACGTTTTTGTAAGTGTAGTTTCAGGATGAATGTGACGCGTAGGGATGTACTATTCGGAGATCAATCACCTGTTTTCTCTGGAGCGGGAAGGTCTTTATCCATGGCGCAGAAACAGCTAGCAGCACAGATTCTTCTGCAATTCTAGGTGTTCGGCTCGTGCGTATCAAGGATACATAGGTGTTCATAGGTGTGCTAGGGCGGCTGGGTCTCTTCACTTCGGGATGAGTCAAAGTGCCATGAAAAGGGTCATGGATCCCTGGTGGGCTAGGACCGGACAGCTGCATCCTCTCGATATTCTCGTGGCCCGAAAAGATTACCTTGTTTATTCCTAGCCACAGGATGCCTAGACTCATGAACCAGAGCTGCTCGATTTAAGAATTTCCGGAGTCGAAAGATGCCAGCGCAAAATGAGCAATCTGCTGGATCTGGGTCTTAAAGTGAAAGGGGCCCAAGAATGCTCCTGAATTCTTGGAAAAAGTTCGTATCCACGTAAAAGCCTCAGCTTTGGCATTGGATTGGAGCAGCTTCTTCAGGAAACAGTTTCATAATTGCATTGGACTTGGGACAGCCGCTGAGGGAGCATCGGGGTTCAATGCAATATAAATGAATTCAGTCGGTGTCGTGACATGCAAAATGCCTGTGTAAACAAATCATAGAAAAGCCAGTCTGCTGAAGGAGGTTCTTTCGTACCCCCTCCACGCGGCGAAGTAGTAGGAGCAGACATGTAATTTAAGCAAGAGCAGGGTGCAGCTACATGACGATGGCGCAGCCCATGGGCTGGCTCATCGTGGACACAAAACCGGACACGCCGGATTGCAGTTCTACACTTCCGGTGCTTTGCTGGATAGTGATTAGTGAGGAGACACTGTTCCCAGGCCACTCTGAGACCAGCAGGATGTACGTTACGTACTTGAAGAGTAAGAACTGTTTGCATGATAGCCGTGTGCTTCCCATCAGTACGGATCATGAGTCGCATAAATTCACAACAAACAGACACCCGACTGCGAAAAAAGACTCCGACCAGGCAGTTCGGAAAGGGGCATGGCCTTCAACATCTGCCGTGTAGTAATATGTCCTGCCTGCAGCCGTGCCCGTCGTACTCAAACATGAGTGCTCCGCTCCGGGTGCAGAAAAGTCAACAAGAGGTCCTGCCTAACGCAGTGAGATTTTGTGTGCTGCCTTCTTGAAATCCAGTTGTAGCACCATTTTTCCACGGAGAAAAGCTTTTGTGCAGCATGTGCCGGAAGTGATACTGTGGAAGCAATTCTGCGCGGGAATCCAATTTTTTAAGGCATTCTTATTTGTGTTCTAAGGTGTTTGTTTTTCAGGATTTCTTTGTCCCAGGAATACGCAGCATTTGGAGCTCTTGAGAGGTTGCCAATACTCCATGAAAGGCTAGGAGTGCTGCAACTTGCAGCACACGGATTTCTCCAAAGACTGTCAATACTGCAAATTACAACATTTGCGGGTCTTGAAAACGCCGTAAACCCTACCAGCCTCAAACTAGACCATAAAACACACAAACCCTAAAAACCCTCAAAGCCGTAAACCAACCCCAAAAAAAACAAACCCATAAAAGCCCTAAACCCTAAAAAAACCTAAACCCCAAAGACACTAAAACCCCCAAAACTTAACCGTAAACTTTAAAACACCTAAAAACCTCAAACCTAAAGACCCTAAACTCAAAAACTCTAAACCCCAAAAACCCTAAACCCTTGAATGTCTAAACCCTAGACACCCTAAACCCTAAAAGCCCTAAAACCCGAAACCCTAAAAACTTGAAACCGCAAAAACCTAACCCTAAAACACCAAAAAACCCTAAACTCTATAAACCCTAAAACCTCTAAACCCTACGACCCGGAACAGAAAGCCATAAACCCTAAAAACCATAAAACAACAAAAACCCTAAAGCCCCTGCAGGAACCACAGAGGGGTCAGCAGCGATGGCAAGCGAATCTGAGGCCTGGCGAACAGGAGGGAGGACAGATGTGCTACGCCAACTTCAAGGGAGCTTGGCGATGCAGCCACGGACATCATGGCTTCGGTTGATAGGGCGTTGGAAGACGATGATCATGATGGCGCTAAGCCTGCTTCTTCTTACTGCATGGACGGGATGTACGCTGGATGGTGGCTTGCTGTGGTCTCGGGCGGGGCCTTCGCGCGGGAGCTGCTCAAATGATGGGGAAGCTTGTCGTAGCCATCCACAAGGGAACGTTGACTGGTAAGGGTCAGGGACCAGTTTGTTCCAGTGTGAGTGACCGCCGATGAGGTGCAATGCATCTGGTCTGTCTTCTCTGAGAACTGTGACTGGTAAGGGTCATGGTTTGCCTGCTTTGGAAATGCCGCGGTACACTGAAGGGTTGGGGTGTGTGATTGGTCCTTTCGATCCTTCTCCAAGGGCTGTTGGCGAACTAAATCTGCCGATGGTATGCTCGCTGCTGCAGAATGTAGTGCGCTGTTCCTTCTTAGACACTTTCGCACGAATGTGCTTTTCAACCTAAGTGCAGGCGGAAAAGGGAATGATAAACAAAATCCTAAAACCACTAAGCCCTCAACCCTAAAAACCCTAAACCCAAAAATCTCCAACACCCTGAAAGCCCTAAACCCTAAACTCCCTAAAACGTCACAACCCTGAACCCTAATCCACCCCAAACCCTAAAAACCCTAAACCCCGAAACCGTAAAACATCCTAAACCCTAAAACACTAAACCCTAAACACCCTAAGCCCTAAAAACCCTAAGCCCTAAAAGGCCTCAACCTTGAAAACCTTAAATCCTCAACCCTAAGAACCCTGAACACTAAAACTCCTAAACGCTAAAAGCCTTAAACCCTAAACCCTAAAAACTCTACAAACTCCTCAACCGTAAAATGCTTAAACGTTAAGATCTAAACCCTAAACACCCTGAAAACCAAAAACTACAAAAACCCTAAACCATAAAACACCTAAAAGCCTTAAACCCTAAACGCACTAAACCAAAAAACCCTAACAACCTTGAATTTTTAAAGCACCCTACACCTACAAACCCGAAACCCAAAAACTTTAAACACTAAAAACCCTAAAGTCAGTAAACCCTGCAACCCTAAAACTTTCAACCCTAAAAACCCGAAACTGGAAAAGGCTTAAACCCTAAACCCTACAAGCATAAAAACACTAAAATCCTAAAAGCCCTAAACCCTAGAATCTTAAACCCCAAAAACCCTAAACCCTGAAATCCCTATACCCCACAAAGCTCAAAACCTTAAAACACCCTCAAGGGTGTAATTTGCAGTATTCGCAGCCTTTCAACAAGAGCCGCGCATATTGTGAATTTGCAGTATTGGCAGGCTTCCAAGAGCTCCAAAAGCTGCAATCAGCAGCCTTCGTAGCCTGTCAAGAGCCGCGAATGTTGTAATTGCAGTGTTGGCAGGCTTTCAAGAGCTCGAAATTCTGCAATTTGCAATAGTCTTGGGACAAATAGCCTTCAAGAATAGAAAATATCCAACAAACAACAAAAAAATTCATTCAAATCAATTTTTGGATCCTTCTGGGCCGCCTTACATACCTTGTATGCCAGGCGCTGCAGTTTTTTGGGGTACTAAGTGTTGCAAGTTTGCCATGTCGCGAAAGCTAGCAACAGTTTCCGTATTGCCGCTGCGTGTCTTTCGCGCCTTTGCCTTTCACAGTGCCAAGGCGGGGGTCCACCGCCCGAGCAGCCGGTGCAGCTGCCATCCGGCTCCACTGGTGCTTTGTGTGGGCTGTTTTTGGCAGCCTGTCGCGGTGAGGCCTGCAGTACTGGGATCTTGCTTGAGAGGCCAACGTACTGGCAACATGGTCTGAGAACAGCAGAGGCCGCTAGCAAAGAGATTGTGCCACAGCTGCTGGCGCAGCTGGCCTCAAACGAGGCACGAATCACGAAAGCGTCAAAGAAGCCATTTTCCGGGGCCTTAAGTTTCTACGCTGTTCAGGTCATAGAAGCCAAGCAAGCTGCAGAGGCAGTTGGGTGATGTATGCCGGGATTTTTCGATTGCTTCAGCTTCATATGTGCCGGTAACGAGCCTGGCAAGCTTTCGAATGACATGGACGAGACAGACGACACAAGATTTCGAACGGAGAGAGGGGGGCAACCCCAGTCATCTCTCGCAGCACTGTGGCGTGAAGTTGATGCTTGCATTATGGCAGTCATTGATGTTGTTATCGGATTCAACCTTAAAACTGCGCCGCGAGTTCATTTTAATCTCTAACGCACAGCCGCTCCGCCCCCTTGCCTTCCCCCCGACTCTCCGCCCCTGCCTCCCTCCCCCTGTGCGGAACCCAGCCGACCAGCCGAGAGCAATGCAGTTAGTGCGGAAGCGTGCAGGGTACGTGGGATGGGCCGCGTGCGCTCAGTTTCAGGGGCATTTGCAGAGCGCTATGAAAGGGCGGGCAAGAGGTGGGCTGGGGCTTGTGTCCCTGAAGGTGAGCTCATAATTGGGCTCCTATTTCGCTCCTTCCTCTGACTTTTACTCATCGTGTATTCTTTCACTTCAACCACTGTGAACCCTGAATAAATCACCTTCAAGTAGGCTTAAACGCCATACTGCTGGCACAAAGCCCGCGTAAAATTCCGATCCACCTCATAAAGACATCAACCAGAAGCCTTGGATCCTAAAACAATCTAGAAACATGGAACGGGAGAAACACGTCTGAATTATGCTGATGATGCTGGCCAAGAGGGGCAGCATCATCTGAATCATCGGGGCTGGCCTGCCCCAGGACCCTCTCCAGCGGGCACTCTCCCAGGGGCATCCCCATAGCCATGGCTTCCTGGAACCTGCAGGATCAAAGAGCACCGCTTCCCTCAAACAACCAACACAAGCCCAACCACCCCTTCCCAAGTACCCCAAGGCCTTTCAGATTCGCAGGGACTAGGGGTTTCCCAAATCCAAGAACGCCACTCCACCTTCCATAAAAACCTTTTGCAACGTGGCCTTCGGAACCAGCTGTTCGGAACGCTTGCAATTTCACATCTTTCAACTCAGTGGGTTTGTCTTCGACAATTTCCAGTACATAGAGGAGAGATTTCGTTGTCATATCCCTCCAGTCCTTGAATTGTATCATGCGGAGACGAGCGAGATCATTTCCATTCTGAAGAGCGCAGATTTGGCCCTACAAGGGGCCTAGTTTGGTGTGTTGCTATGTCTCGTGATTGTGCAGCCTGTCCTCTTCAAGAGAATTCTGCAAAGACAGGTTCCCATAGGGCTATAGACCGCTCGCTATAATGTGCGATTTTTCGCTTCTGGATCTTAATAAGAGATGTGTTTGGAATAGCCTCGCATAATCGCTTCTCCTAATCATCAATTGTGGCAATGCATCATTATGATTGTCCCGGCGATGGTAACAAAACATATCCGGAATAAGATGCTACTATCACTTATGGCTACAGGGGAATATGTATTGAACAACTTCTATGGGGCCAATTTGCATTTTCTATTTCAAACTTGTTCTCTTTCTCATTGGCTAGCTCTCATTGGCTAGCTAGGAAAATAGGAATTAAAAAAAAATAAGTGCTGGTTTCTCATGAGATAGGTACTTTCATTCTTCCAAATCTTTTGTGAATCGTACAGTATGTGCTTGAATTGCAAACTTTCATGTGAGATTACTTCTTTCAAGCAGCTTGAGGCCCCTGCAGTATCCGGGAGAGACTTACAGAGAGAACCTACCAAACATTTCCAGAGCTGGGGGGGTTCGGCGTAGCCCGGGACATGGCCCATCGGCCGATGGAGAGATGCCTGTGGCAAAAGACCGGTGAACGCACCGTGAACGCCGCTTCAAGAGATTTATGAGGTTTGACAAAATCCGACAAACGGGGCCCGTAAAATATGTGTTTTTGGAGTTCTGGGAGACTCCGAGGGGAGGGGATCCTGCATGAGAGGGGGCTTGGTGGAGAGCCCATGAAAATCGCCGAACGCGCCGCCCCCAAGGATCGCCAAGGATCCCCAAGGGACGTCCGTGATAAACAGGAATGCCTTCAGCTTGAGGTCCAGAGCTGGCGCTCCAAAGGAGAGGATCCCCCAAGCGCCCTGTAAGTTGGCGGGTAAATGCCTGGAGTCTACGCAAACGCGATCGTTTTTGCGTGTTTTGGGAAGCATTTTGTTGTTTGCTTGCATGGGCTTCCGCAGCCCATGCGAGGGATGCAGCTAAAATCGGAAGGGAATCAGCCTGCAAAGGCCGGCTGCAGATATTGAGCTCACCGCCGCTTTCGGACAACCCCAGATGTCCTCGTACATGCACGTCGCTCTGCTCTTGAAGCAGCAAGCCTGCAGTCTGCATCTGCATGGCAGGGCTTCACGAGAAGCGAGCAGGAATGTAAGCTTGCTGTAGACGGCGTTGGCTGGTTGACGCTTGCCAGCTCCCTAGTTCACTGCTGCCCAGACTTGGTATCTCAATGCATGAGCCACCCGGTAAATGAAAGCTTTGAGCGCTTTGGCATTGAGGCCAAAATCTTGTCTCCAAATGATACAGTGCGGGATTTGCCAGCAGCACTTGTTGAAGCAGGCTGCAGCCATACAGACATGGTTGTACGTAGCCGGTGCATGCTGCGTTTGAGCTTTCCAGCAAACGGCTAGCTTCGAGGAGCGATACGAGCTGCTGCCAGCATCATGGCACGCTTCATTGGCGACAGCATGGTACAATTGCCAGAGCCTAAAGGTGCTGCTGGTTGTCAGCATATGAAGCACAGCATGCCTCTGTTGTTTGGTCATGTCTTTGACACTGCAGACGGTCTTTTAGAAAAGGACCGGGATAGAAGCCATGCACGGACCTTAGCCTCCGAATTGCTGCAGTGTGAGCAAGAGGCCTTCTTTTCTCGCCACTTAGGTCGAGCTTGGTCGGCAACCGATGGGTCCGTGCCCTTTTTAAACCAGCGCATGGCGACAAATGCCTGTTGGCCGTTTTGGCAAAAGCTCCAGGCCGGTCTGCGAGCGTTTGCCGACGTTGGAGGCATGGAGCCGCTTGCCAGCAGGATGAGGACATGAGGATGAGGGGGTGGAGTTGCACTGGCACGTCGACACGCACTTGCGCGTTACAAAACAAAAAGTCTCTGACACACGTCTCAACAAGTGAAGTCTGGATGTTTGTGGACCTGGGGTTTGACGGCGATAGGCGGCTGGCTGCTCTACCAAGACTCGTTTGCACGACTCATGCCGCGGACAAGTGACATTTCACTTCCTCAGTGCACGTTCAGAACGCTCAGGAGGATAGCACAAGCGCGTGGTAAACTGCGCAAAGGCGGTTGACTTTACAGTCTCTGATCTGTCATGCTCGCCGCGGACTGCAGTCTGAAGGCGCGATTAGATGCTCATGTCTCACCACCTGCAAACTGACAGGATATTGAATTGTAGTTCTTGGTAAGGTGCCAGATGGTGCCAGCCATGACCTGTACCTGTATTTGTCGAATCATTAAATTTCAGGCCGGGCAGAAGGCCGGCGTTGAGGATAGGTTGTGCTTTGCCAAGATGAAGCTTGTAATGTGCGAGGTGATTGAGAGTCCCAAAATGAAGCAATGGACCCCGCTGATGCGATTGCATCAGTTGGGGTCGATTCTCCACTACTCGACCTTCAAATCACCTGAGAATCCCAAAATCCTTCGGAAGTCCATTATACTCTGGAGGGAATCTTGAAACATGTACGCTAGCTACATAAAGAGGGGGTCCAATCATGTGTCTACTCAGGTTCAAACCATGGACCCCAGTACATAGGCCCTGAATCCTTGGGTCCCAATTTACCTAGTATGTACGTATCCTGCATATGATAAATACATATATATATATATTTTACATATTTATGTGTGTACGTATGTGTGTATTAGGAGGATCCCGCACCCTGTAATAGTGGTATAATAGGAACATAAGAGAACCTTCATAAAATCCTCATTATCCCTTAGAGTCGCTATTATTGGGTCGGGGGTCCACCTAATGAATGAATGAATGAATGTATGAATGAATGAATGTATGTATGTCTGTCTGTCTGTATGTACGTACGTACGATGTGTGTGTACGTATTATGTATGTATGTACGTATGTATGTATGTACGTATGTACGTAGTTATGTACGTATGTATGTGCTCTTGACCATGCAAGTATCACAAACCCATCGTGCAACCTTCGTAGACACCATGAAGGCTTGCACGGTGTGCATGGATTTAGCATAGGTCCGGGTGTCAGAAACGCATCCGCAAAGATATCGATCACACCGGCCAAGGGAGCTGGCAACATCCCCTGTTTCCAATTTTGAGCCTTCTTGTACCGCATCACCTCTGTTCTACTTTGAGCTTAGGACCGAATAGGTTGCTGGAGCTAGTTCACCAACAATGTGCTTGACCGTTCAGAGGGCTTGTTATGCGGTGGGGGGACATCGCAAAATGCAGGGAAAAAGTGAGTCCGCACTCAACTCAAAGAGAGAGCGGGAGGGCCAGTCGGAGAAATGCAGGGCTTGGGAAGAGCACCTTCAGACCCCGGACTGCAGTGGCGGGAGGTTTGGAAAAGCAAGGGGAAGCAAGCTAATGGGATTTGGCATTTTGGCATGGTCTGTGAAGGCCGATGAACAGGTGAAACGGAATGGGGGGGCTGTGGAATCGGCAAGGTTTGCAGAGGCATAGAGCGGTTGCAGGCATTGCGAAGCCTTTGGTGATCAGCCTTTGGTGTGCCTGCCAAGGCGGGTGGAGGAAGCCATGCGGCACCACGGCCAAGATACATTGATACAAACCAAGGCTGGTTTTCAAAGTTCAACTCAGTTGATGCGTTTGCGGAGAGTCTCAGGGCGTGCGAGCCCTTGGCAGCGGGGTCCAATGGCCACAGGATGTACAAGAGCGAGCTCGCTATTCCTACAGGTGAAAGCTTCAGAGCTTGGACTTAGCTCCAGCGGTTTGATGTCAGGCGCGCCGTAGAGTTGACCAAGACAGCTTGCGCCTGAATTTCTACGGAAGCTTTCCTTGCAGTCTAAACATCCTTGCGAACCCTGGTTGCAGGCGATGTCGCAGCACGGCATGGATGCCGAGCTTCAGATCGCTGCTTTAGAGGCAGGGCAGAGCTGAGAGGCTGAGGAGCTGAGTGCAGTGATTCGTTGTCAAAGCGATTTCTGCTCTTCCAGGCGCTTGCCAAGTATCTGGACAAGACCAGATGTGTGAGCTGCTGAGCTCAGAAATTTGAAAGACAGTCAGCGAGTTGCATGGGCTTGTCAGGTGAGTGAAATCAAAGATGCTGGAGGTTCATTGCACTGGGTTGCTGACCGCGCTGTGGGGTCAAAGGCTGACTCTTGCAAGGTGAGGGCCTTGTGAAGATGATGATGACGACTCATCACTCAAATGCAAAGGCCTTTAGTTTTCGCATTTGAGGCTTTGTGTGGCACACCGTGGCACCTTTGCAGCATCTCCTGCAAAAGGTTCAGCAGTGGGGCCGGCACGTGCTCACGGGCATTGGGGTTCTGAACTCATTTGACGGCATGTGGTGGCCCGACTGGTTTGACTTTCCTACCCTGCGCCTGAGGCCGACCCGAATTGGGCGCCAAAGACGAGTGCCGCAACGAGTTGAGAGAGCGCTTGAGCGCCAGCCCTTAGTTGGTACTGATCGTGCTATCATGTACCACCCCTACCCATTTACGTAAACCTCCGTGAAATCCTTGTTGGGCATATGCTATACTATTGGAAGTTACAAAAGCGGTGTCCTTCTCATGCTCCTTCGGAGCTAGCATGGCGAAGCCACTCTGATCGCAATGCCACTGCAATTATCACCTACCAAAGTCGAGCCATCCGCAACAAAGCGACAAACGCTTAAGCGCTTTGCTGTGCCGTGATAGGCACTTTCGACGCTGTGCAGCTTGTATTTGGACTTAGTCTTTGGTTCGGACATGTGGGCCTATGGAAAACGTAGTCTTGCCACCAAGACCAGTATGTCGCGGCATGTGCAGCAAGCAAGCGGTGTAATCACCTGAAGGTACTTCAGGAATTCCGTCCAGTAGTGGGAGCACGTACACACCTAGAGGGCAAGCAAGAAGCTGGGTGCATACCAGATTGTGGAACTCGGTCTGACCAGCTGTAATTCCAGCACAACCAGGTATATACTTGGCAGCGGCCTGACAATTAGATAGAGTAATGCGCCATGCACCTGTGCGCGAGGTACTGCCACCCCAGCAGCGCCCAAAAATTCAGGTCATTTGCAGACATAGCAGACATGTTTAGGGCTTGGTACAGTGCGCCATGCTGCAGCTGTTGGATGTGTGTGCTTGATGAGAGAGGAGCGCCGGAAACAGAATGAGCTCGGAGATAGCGTTAGGTGGGTACAGCAAGCCAAAAGTCCTGGCTCCGGCAACTGAAACTGAGGAAGAACTGCCCTCCAAGCGTGTGGAGCCGCTTCCTACAACCGCGCTAACATTGGATGAAGCAATCACAGATTTAAGCAGATTGCAGCTTGTCCTTGCAGTCCCAGCAGTATCAGCCCTTCGAAATGCAAGGCCATTGCGGCGACATGAGAACGAGCTGTATGTAGCGCAGTTCGTTTTGCAATCCACCCATGGGAAGTTCAACAAATACCTGTCGACGCCAGAAGGCAAGTGCGAGCTGCATCCTTGCTTGAAGCTGGGCACTGCAGATGGGAACATAGAAGGAGATGGCATTGGCCACGATGGCGATGGTTCTTTTGGCGCTCTGACTGATGGCACACCTGCAATTTACCAAACAAACGGGATTGTGCGAACAGAGGAAGGATTGTGCAACAAGCCCATCAAGTGCAGTCGGACAGGGGCCCCAGGCCATTACATGGAGACACGCATGCTAGTTGCGCGAAGGCGGGATACTACAGGTTTGCCACTGTCAGGATTGGCTCGCGCGAAAAGCATGCGGTCACGCGAAGACGTTATGTCCAACTTGTTTTATTCTTTTGTGAGCTCGTGGCAGATCTACGCCTGCTCAGCACCTGTTGGAGAACTTGGGGATGACGACTCTGGAGAACGCATACTTGTACGCCGTTCCATACGAAACTTTGTTCAACATCACTTTCATGACTTCCCGATTGCCAAACATCTAGCTGACCTCTTGGATCGTGAGAATCAGACGCTGGTTCAAAAGCACAGTTTTGGTCAGGGGGACGTGGAGCGCTGCATGTACGATTATGACTGCTACACGCTGCGAGCTTGGCAGACATATGAGTGCGAGGGTAGGCCTCCAGAGGAAGACCTCGGCCGTCGGCTCGTGGAGGCCGCTCGGAATGGCCAGCTGTCGGAAGTCGTTCACCTGGTGAAGAATTGCGGGTGCCATTTGGACACAATTGTGGCAGAGTTTGGATGTATTGGCAGTGGCAAGACAGGCATTTACACACGCAACCCCTGCGGATATGCAGAGGAGCGCACGGCGTTAATTGCGGCGGTGCAGGCCGGATGGCAATCTGTCGTGGAAGCACTTTTGGAGTTTGTTCGGGCCGGCAGAAGCAACATCAACGTTGTTTGCCACGAGTGGAACCCAAAAGGCATTGGCGGAGAATGTTTGCGCCCTTGTTATACTGCATTGGATCAAGCCCGGCTGTATCACCGCGATGTCATTTTTTCGCTTCTGAATTCAGCAGGGGCGCTTCCTCACAAGAAATGCAAAAAGGTACCACGCGAAAACCCGTTTAATGTGCGTGCTCAGCAAGACAGGGGGGAGCCCCACGCAAGTTTCCCTGACGAGAAGCCAGGTGACAGCCAGGAGGACTTCACTTTCTTTGAGTGGACAGAGGAAGCACAGATGGATGAGGAAATGAAGGCTATCATCACTGAGTTGAAGGTGGAGCTGAAAGATTTTCACAAAATCGAAGAGAACGAGCAGACAAAGCTATTTCGGAGATTGTCTGCTCGATGGCACCCAGACAAACACCCAGACGACAAGAAGGTGCTAGCAACGAGAATCTTTCAATGGATTCAACACGTCAAAGATGATGCTTGGGAGAATCGCGCGTGGTCTGCATGACCACGCATCGTAGCATCATGTTTCACGGAGCCCAGCGACGTCTGAGCAAAAAAAGCTTGGCTACGGTTTGCAACCAATTCTGGACGCGACCGAAGGGCAGACAGAACATGTTATTTAGAACCTGAAGGCGTTTCTTGAAAGATGGTTCAGATAGCCCTGAAGGCCATGCGACTTTCTTGAGGTAGCTTGTGCTAGTTTTTCACTCCCGTTACGGATCGGGGAGCCTCATGAGTCCACAGTTCTGGATGGTTTCAGAGCATTTCGGATAGGAAGGCCAATCTAACGGAGCCAAGATGGGCCATGCTTCGTGTGCCCTGGGATGCTCCGTCGCCTCCTCATGATTTCATTGCATAAAGCCCACGACTCTGCCTTTAGAAGCCTGTTGGAAGGATCAACGAGGCTGCTCAAATTGGGGCGCATCATCGCACATTGTCGAGGTGGAGGCATCCTGCAGTTTGCCAGTAGGGAACAATTGCAGTATGCGAAAAACTGTGAGATCAGTGTCTTCTGTACATGTCTCTTGTACATTAGGAAAAGGAGCAACTTCATCCAGTTTTGATGAGGGAGCTGTGGTTTATTCTAGAGCTCCCTATGTTTTTGTCCAGACATGTCGTAGCCTCTCCTTGCTTGTGACTTTCGGGATAGTTCTGCCAGCTTATGGATAGGAGAGGTGTCGACTATTCTTAAGCCAGAGATTCAGCAAGCCCGCAGCAAGCTCCTCATTGGCCCATGAAGGTTTGTTTTGTTGCTTGGGTTTCAGTTGGCTTGCTTGTTTCTCATTCTCTTTACATGCTTGCTGGCCTTTGTCCTGCTGTCTGTCTACTCGCTTTCCTATTTGGTGTGGGTTGCGCAGCTGGTTTGGTGTATTGACTGCTTGCTTGATTTGTTGCTTGCTTCTTTGCTGGGGTCGCTTCAGGCTTGGTTCTTTTTGCCTTGGCTGGCTCGCTCAGATTGTATGCAACTTTGCGATGACTGTGTTAAGCGGATAGGGACGCGCGAATGTGTGGATTTGCTGGTCTGAGTATCAGTCATGCTTGCTCAAGATGAACTCCTGACCAGGTCCCAAGAGGGTCTGCACCGTCCAAACCTCGACGTCAAATGGAGGCTCTGACTGTTCAGCCCTTCGGTGATGCTTTCGGCCGGCTCAGAAAACATTCAGGGGACAGCCGCCTAGCACAACTTGAAAAATGTCATGCTATGAGAATAGAGCGTACGTTCATTCTGAAGACTTCTGATGTACAGAAGTTGTTTACAGGCACAGTGCCTGGAGTCCTGGCATGGCACAGCTCCAGCGTGCTCAGAGCAAACCTCAGACGAAGCCTGCTAGTAGTGTGCACTTCTTAAGCTCCAGTAATGGAAAAGGTGCCGCTGGAGGTGCAGCCTGCTGCCCCCGCTGCGCAGGTGAAGGCTGTTTCTTCTGAGATGCGCGCTGGTTTCTGTCACAATGCATGCCACGGAGGCCTCGCATTTGACGCCCCTGCCAACGCTTCAGCTGGATATGTGCCGCCCTTGGTGAAGCTTTCCGTGTGCTGGCTTTTAGATGGTAGCTTGAGTGGTCGCTAGAGGCCCGCTGCCGTCGCGGCTGCCTTTCTGGAAAGCACTCGAGCTGAGGCCACAATGTTGTTTGGCTTCATTGCATTACTACTATGTGTATCGACACCTGGCGCCAGGCAGATGCCAAGTACCGCCGGAAGCTGGCTTGCAGGGCCGCAAGAGCAGAAGCCGCTGGTCAAGCCAAAGAGCTGTCTCCCAGCAACTCTGCCAACTGTGCGGCTGGAGAAGCTGCCCATGAGAAGGCAGGCCCATCGAAGAACCTTCTGCGCAGGAACATTAAAGTTGCACTGACTTTAGTGAAGAGGCCTTCTTAAATGTATTTTCGCCGCCGCTTGTTAGGATCTGGCCATTGTTGGGAAGGTCGTGTTTAATGTGTTTTGGTTTGGGGCCCTAAAAATACGGGACCGAATCCAGACCATCCCTTTAGAAACAAGGCCTCCTGGGGCCCTCAGTACTGTGGGACCCCTATTCAGGACGTTTAATTTCAAGTTTTTGGGTGGCCCTATTGTTAGGGGGGGCCGTAAGATACAGCGAGTCCAACATTAACCTTAACCCGATGAAGACGAGGCACAAGTGTGGAGGAGATTCCGGATCGGATGTCACGGAATGTCCGGGTTGAACCGCCTGCCTTGCGTTTCTGCTTGCCTTCGTTGATGCTCCCACTTCGGCTGCTCTCCCGGATGTGTGGGCTGAGCGAGCAGTCTACAGGGTCACGTTCCTGTGATGCTCGACAGGTGGACGGAAACTGGCTCAAGTTGAACGAAACCCTTCCTTCTGTCATTCTCATGTCCTGTGCAACGCAATTCAGCCCATTCCATCCCATCCTACCCTCTCTAGTTTTTGCGAAGAAACCGACGCGAGAACATCGAAGCAACCATGTCTTTCAAGCCCGCCACCTTCCATCAGTAGCGGGGCTGTGAACAGACAAGAGTATTTCGAGAGGCTTCTGCCTTCTGCGCTTTCAGATTCAAATGTGCCACTTGTTTTCATCCTGAGACTTGGGACTATCACATTTGTCGACCTCCGGAGGTGAAGCCTCCGGCACCTGCAGCGTCTGCATCACCTATGAACCACTCACGCCCCGTCTTCAACTTGGACGGCAAATTCGCCCGGGTCCCGGGAGGTTTGTATTCACGCTTGCTTCTTTGGCGCCATGCTGGTTTAAACGAGTGCTGAAGCAAGTGGCATTCTGCAAGGTCTCAAGTGGTGCCATCCGTCAGCGATTGCAAGAGATGGAGGTTGGGGATGGGATGGTAGGTGGCAATTCACCACTAGAGAGCTGTCAAGCAACGTCGCTTGGAGGTTGCAATTGACCGCTAGACAGCTGTCAGGCAACATCGCTGGGAGGTTCGGTGCCAGGATCTCAAATGACCACCGAATCACAAGCGTGGAGATTGCTAAGTGGCTGGACATTCAGGCCATGCAAAAAGTGAGTCTCATCAACGTGGCCAGGTTAGGCGGTGATGACTCACCTTGTTTTTTCTGCACGAATTCGAAGTGGTTGATGGTAAGCTGCATCAGCAAATATGGCTGCGTCACCATCTTGTTCAAGTGTATTCATGGGTCTGGCTGGCTGACTGACAACGAACTGGATGCATGGATGGATACATGTAAGGATGTAAGTGTAGGCGACTGTGCTTGTGCAGGTAAATGCGTTGTGTGTAGGCTGCATGCACTGATACATCTATGTATCTAAGATTATGCCAGCGTGGATGGATGTGCATATGTGGGTGGGTAGGTAGGTAGGTAACTGCATCACAAAGTAGACCGCGCCATGCATCAGCATGCTGAGCATCGAACCAACTTGGGCGCCCGCCGTTTGGCTTTTCAAAGGCGTGCATGTTAAGCAGCACGCGTTGCGCCACTTAGAAGCGAGGGCCATATGTATGGCTCAAAAGGTGCATGCGAGGCACGACGTTCAACGTGAAGTTGGAGCTGCAGAATGTATGAGCAATAATTCGTTCACTTCTCTTGTGAGAATGCCCAAAGCCTGTCATCTCGCAGGGCGATGGACCAGCACCGTGTGTTCGCAAGCTCGCAGACACCCAAGCCTTCTTGAGCTCTTCCACTCTCGAATGGACCGACTGCAGAGGCCTGGGAATGGCTTAGCATGGCTCGCGAAGTGAACGTCAGCATTGCCAAGGACAATCAGGACCTGCATTTTCGGGTACGGGCTTGACCTTCAGACTGGTCTGGATGAAGCTAGAGTACGGATGAACTTCCGAAGGCGTCACGCAGCCACCAACCAGTTGTGCACAAACATGGACATGGCAGCTGGCGACATCCTGCTGCTCTTGCTGCCAGTAAGCCCCTCGTTGTGGCACTTGAGCACAAGCTCATTCTGGGCGCAGCTGCGCCACATGGGGCAGGTGGAGTGTACCGATCATGTGATTGTACAGCGTATGTACGTGGGGAAAGGGTCCACCTTCTTTGAAGTTCCCCCCCCACAGATTTGACTGGTCTGGCGAAACGGAGCGCGCATACGGCCTTGGAGCGGGTCTGCGGGTCTGCTCCGGCACATTCCGGGAGTGGGCTCCCTCCAGCGTGCTCCAGTGCCTTTTGGGGATGCCCAACCTGTGGGTTGTGTGGCATGTCTGAGGCTCTGGGCGTCTTGCCGCACTCAGCATGAGGGGCGAAGAGCTCTATATGCATGCGCTCTACGACGGTATGGCGTTCCGACAAGCAGCAGACGCCATGTTCGGTCACATGCGTTTGCAAATGAGTCCGTCCGCCAAGTTGCTAAGTTAACCTCGCCTTCAAGATGTGGGATACCTGATAACCCTGATGCCTCATACATGCCGACTCGCCCCCAGACCTCGACTGACAGTTCCAAAGCAGCCTGCCCTTGCTGTACAAGCAGGAGCAAGACATTGTTGTAGTTTCGGATGCCGATTCTTGAGCATCGTCATTGGCTGCATCAGTTTCTGTCGATTCGTGGCACTCACAGCCAGGAGCTTCAGACTTTTGTCTGAAACCCAGCTGCTTGCAGAGTAGTTCGCTCGTCGCAGCCCGACTTCTTTGCATGGAGCCATAGTCGACCCTTAAATTGGTGTCTTTTGATTTGACTATGGGTGGTCCCCCAAACAACCTTGCGTTCAGGCTTGACTTCAAAAACTCACCAGGGACAGGGTTTCAGGGCTCGATGGCCCAGTTTGGGGCCCGGCACGATGTGGCTGGGGAGGGTGCTCGATACTTCCCCCACCAGAAATTCGCCTCAAGGACAACCACCAAACTAGTCGGGATTCGACATTTCTACTTAGATTTCTATAGCCTGGGATTCTTCCAACACGAGACAACAGGAGGCTTCCCTCAGTTTGCAAGGTCGTGGAAGCTAGGCATGTGCTTCGAAGAGCTGCCAGTCTGCCGGCCGAGAACTTGGGGCTCCTTCGACTCACCTCCAATGGTTTCTCCTGCAAAGAAGTTGCTGTTTTTCGCAACTTCTGCCGAGGCAGGATGTGCCGGTAGTGCTGCGAAGGCCTTGCGCGACGAGCGGGTTGTTCTTGCCTGGGCCTCTGCTGCATTGAGACAGCCAGCTAGAGCAGCTGGACTGATGAGGCGCGCCGGATTGCCCAGTCACCTGCCAAAGCCCGGCAGCCTTACAGACCATTGCGATCTAGCTGCACAGAGGCTTTGATCACAAGTTTCACCTGAGAGATGCTGAGAGCTGATGACTGAAGGCTGGTTCCCCCAGCGGTTGGCAGAACGCAGGCACCTCGTGAACAGCTTATCCATTCCAGACTTGCCTTGCTAAGCAATGCCAGAGGTTCGCGGAAGAAAGCCAGCACAGTCACAACACCTCCACCCACAAAATAAAAGGGTGGCATTGGACGACGAAGTTTTTGTCCGCCCCTTCTGCCCCGCCAAGAGAAGTCAGCGAGGTAAAGGAGGGGCAGTTCAGGCATTCCCAAAGACATTATGACGGAGTCGGCAAGAAATCATTTTTCATCCACCTTCGTCACGAAGCACTGCTATGCACTGTTGACAGCGAGAGGGGGGGGCTCTGCCAAATCCAAGTGGTGTTTGACATTTGGGGGGTTCAACAAATACGTTATTTTGACGGGTATTTCCTGAAGCTTTGCTGCTGTGGCTATTCTAGTCTGGTATCTCACAGCCGTTGCAATGATTGCAGTTCTGTCTGTTGAAAGAAGCCACAGTGGTGTTCACGTTTGGTCGCGCTGCGACGGCATGCAACCAATTACAAGCTTCAGGCGCCTCATGTGACATCAATGGTGGCACATCTTTGTCTGCAGGAGGAAGCTGCCCAGAGAGTCCCTGCAGCCAGCCGGGCCTCAGGTGTAATGCAGACGACACTACGAGTTGCAGGGTTGCCACGTGCTGCTCTGAGGTTTAGTGTCGGGGAGTCTCAGCGCGAACAGAAACGAGGCAAACCAGGCAAACCAGAAGTTTGCAGAGGCTCCCTGCCAAGATGGGCAAGAAGTTGCTGAAGCGATCACGGCTCTCAAGCAACACGGGGGCCGCTCGAGCGGCAGCAGTGAAGCTGTAACACGTAGCGGACGTAGCGAGGCTGGCGAGGCAATGATCAGAATTGAAGGCAGCTCAGCTTCCACATGCCAAAGGCATTCTCTGTCTGAGAATTTGCGGGATATTCTCATTGACCTTTGCCAATCCGTTGAAGCTGATGTTAAGCATCAGAGCAACTTTGATCACACCAACAAAGTTGAAGCCAGTGACGTTTTCAACAGCAGCAGGCATTCACTATCAGACTCAGCCGTCGAAATCGCTGCCAACGCATGCTCGTCCGCCATTACACGCAGACTGCAAAGCAACAGTTTGGATGGCTGCGAGATGTCAAGCCTGGGGGAGGTTGCAGATGTAGCGCAGCTATCCGAAATTAGTGAACACATTGACGAACAGCATGCTGTAGTTGCGGCTTTCGCACAATTGACCCACTCCATTGCGTGCAATGTAGAAGCTAAGCCGAGTCAGCAAGCCGCTAGTGCCCCCACTGCACTCGGCAGCACGAAGTCTCAGTCACGCCTAAACGAACAGAAAGGGAACGCAGAAACAAAAAAAACGTGGCTGGCAAAGGAAGCTGCAGACACGAAGGCTGCCAAGAAAACTCAAGTTGAGCGGCTGGCAAAAGAAGATGCAGAGGCAAAGGCTGCTAAGCAAGCGGAGGAGGAGAGGCTGGCCAAGGAAGCTGCAGAGGCGGTGGCTGCCAAGCAAGCGCAAGAGGAGCGGCTGGCCAGGGAAGCGGAGGCGACAGCTGCCAAGCAAGCGGAGGAGGAGTGGCAGGCCAAGGAAGCTGCAGAGGCGGACGCTGCCAAACAAGCGGAAGAGGAGCGGCTGGCCAAGGAAATTGCAGAAGCGGCAGCTGCCAAGCAAGCGGAGGAGGAGCGGCTGGCCAAGGAAGCTGCAGAGGCAAAGGCTGCCAGGCAAGTGGAAGAAGAGCAGCTGGCCAAGGAAGCTGCAAAGGCGGCAGCTGCTAAGCAAGCGGAAGAGGAGCGGCAGGCCAAGGAAGCTGCAAAGGTTAAGGCCCAAGTTGAGGCTGCCAAGCAAGCGGAGGAGGAGC